CATTAACCCCATGAAAAACCCAACCGTTGTCAGCTCAGTCTCCGGGATGCCGCCGGTGGAGGGCCGCGCGAAGCCGATCCAGGCCATGCTCTTGCCGATCTGGCGCCGATGGCCATAGCTATTGGTAATTATAACTATAGGATAATCATGTGGATATTATATGGAATATATATATATATGGTAATAATATGGTAATTCTGTGGCACTGTGGTATGGTAATAATGAAAGCCATAGACAATTATGGATAATTTATGATAATAAATTGATAATTTATATTATCCTTAACTATATGGATATTATGACTATATTTTATGGATATCGAAAATTGCCATAGGAATAGTTGATTTTTACCTCTAAAACATGGGGATTTTCCGTAGTTTTTTGTATGTTTACCACAGGGTAATAATAGGATAAGTATAGCTATGGTTAATGGATAATTATAGGAGAAACCATAGCTATAGTCATAGGATAACTATATGTTTTTATCCATTAACCATAGTTATAATTACTTCTTGTGTTAATTGCCATAGTTAACTCTTGCCATCTATCCATTTAGTCAGTTGGGATGATTATTCCCAATGTATGGAAAAATAAAGTTCATGTTCCAAACCACCAACCAGATGGTAATAATAGGGTAATTATAACTATGATTAATGGATAGCCCGATCATCATATGTCACTATGGTTAATGGTGTTAATGGCTATCTATGGATATTATGGTAATTATAGGATAAATATAACTATGGCCATAAGATGGTAATTATAACTATAGGAGAATCATGTGGATATTATATGGAATATATATATATATATGGTAATAATATGGTAATTCTATGGTATGGTAATAATAATAACCATGGGTTAATGGTAATAATATGGATATCTGTAGTAGTTAATAAGCCAGTAATTATCCAATCATATGGTAATCATGTGGTAAGAAGATGGTAATTGTAACATAGTGTAACTATAGGAATGGCGCCAGATAAATGGAACATGGTAATTGCAATCATATAGTAATAATATTAAATATCAATATTAGGAAAACCATATTATCTAGGATTGAAAAAATGTTATATGATCCATAATGGTAATTGTAATCATATTACCATTAATAGATCAATTATTTATGGATCATATTTCTAGACAGATCATGTTCCTAGGCTTCATGGATAACCCATCGAAAAAAATGGAGCATCTATAGGGAAACCCTAACATGATATATGATCCACGGATCCATGTGTTCTCTGTTCTAAATATCTATGTTTTAGTTTAGTTCAGTAAAAAATGAGTTTAACTCGAGGATTTATTTGGACTTGTAAGATTTATCTGGATCTAATTCATCCTTTCAACAGCTTTTTTTTGGTGGTTCATGGTCCATGGCTTATTATAATCAGTGACTTTGTGGACCGCCGTTCGCGTGTGGTTGTTCGCAAAGGGCCAAAAGTCTCATCTCTGGGATGATCGAATAGATGCTCCACAAGCTCCACCCTTTCTTTGGGGAACCCTTCCTGCCTGTGGGTGGAAGACATGTTTAAAAAGCCGCCGAACGTTGTTCTCCGGCACGCTTAGTGGCACCCCGGAGTCTCCTTCAAGCTGGGGCTACACCGGCTTGATGGGATGGAAGCTGATTCAAAGATAGGAATTGAGTTTGTCTCAAACTAGGGTATCTGGGGTACCCCTAAAACCCCTTGCGTTATCATTATTTCCGCATCAACATTGCCCCAACGTGGGCTGAATCCATCAATTTTTTTGGTTCTTGGAGAAACAGAACAAACATCGACACACCCAATTTGAAAGGGGACGATGGATATGACCGACATGAATCGAAGATGGTGTGGAAAGGGATCATTCGGCTAGTTCCAAGCACGTGGAACGACCTCAAGGAGAACTCCCCTTGTGAAAGGTTTCTGTTGACTTTGAATATTGACTATAAGAAAGAAGAAACCATCCAGGCCCCCCCACACATTTGCTGGAAAAAAAATCTGGAAAAACGATGAAACCATCCCCCTTCGTGCCTATGGTCCCCTTCAGGAAGGGAAAAACATCACCTGAGTTCAACCCCTTTGACAAACCAAACAGTTTCATGATTCATGTAGAAAAGTCAAAATGCGATCGCAGGGTCTTCAAATAATCTGCTTGGCTTTGTCTCAAAATGGTTCAGAAAAATGCAATTGATTAATTAATCTTGTTTCCCATGGGAACATGCTGCTCTCATGGAGGGCTCACCAAAAATATTCCCCAATTTTCCACCAGTCACTGGGATGTAGCCGCTGTTTTTAAGGACCCAAAATGACTTGAACCACCCAAAAATCAGCAATATCAGCAATTTGTTTCAGCAATGGCTTTAATATTGCTTACATGCTTAACCAATTGGTGGTTTGGACTTCAACCCATGGATATTGTTCTCGACTAAAATTGGGATTCACACCATTCTCCCCCATGTGTTCACCCAATTTTTATCCACGTGCCTGGACATGGGTCTGGGTTTGTCTGAAAGCATGGTATCCCCACTCCCAATGGATTAAAATCAAAGCCGGATATTTGCCCATAACTTGGTGGTAAACCCCTCATTTTGAGACACACCCAAACATAATGTTGTTGATGACATACCCGATCATTGTACCAATATTATCTGTCATTAGCTATCATGATCTATTACGATCTATTACTATCTATTATTATTATATATATATATTATTATCTATTATTATCTATCATTATATATTATTATATATTATTATCAGTTTTATCTATTGCATTACATTCTATTATCAGTTCTATGATTTCCTATTATCATCCCATTATCATCCAAAATATCATTAAATCATTAAATCATCCCATTGATATACCCATTTAAATCATCCCATAAACACCCACTAAATTCTTCCCACATTTCTATCTTCCCATCTAGGTAAATCAAACTATATACACTTATTACAATTAGTATTATTATATACCATTATTATACCATCTGGTTATGACTAACATAGCCATGGTATAGATGGCCCATGAAAATAGATGGTTTACCGTTCTTAAAAATGGTGGATCTTTCCATGGCTATGTTAGTCATAACCAGATGGTAATACCAGTTGTAAACTATTGTAAATGGGAAAATCCAGTTGGACTTGACCAGTCTTATGAAAAACACTAGTCATTATATACCATTATTATATACCATTATGATATACCATTATTATATACCATTATGATATAACATTGTGATATACCATTATTATATACCGTTATGATATACCATTATGATATACCATTATTAGATGATTATAATTATCTGGTTGGTGGTTTTAACCCCTCTGAAAAATATGAAAGTCAATTGGGATGATGACATCCCATATATGAAATGGAAAATAAAAGTCATGTTTGAAACCACAAACCAGTAGAAAGATTTATAACAGCTTTTAGATACCGTTATTATATACAATTATTATATACCATTATTAGATGATTATAATTATCTGGTTGGTGGTTTTAACCCCTCTGAAAAATATGAAAGTCAATTGGGATGATGACATCCCATATATGAAATGGAAAATAAAAGTCATGCTTGAAACCACCAACCAGTAGAAAGATTTATAACAGCTTTTAAATACCATTATGATATACCATTATGATATACCATTATTATTTACCATTATGATATACCATTTGGATATACCATTATTATATACCATTATGATATACCATTGTTAGATGATTATAATTATCTGGTTGGTGGTTTTAACCCCTCTAAAAAATATGAAAGTCAATTGGGATGATGACATCCCATATATGAAATGGAAAAAATAAAAATCATGTTTGAAACCACCAACCAGTAGAAAGATTTATAACAGCTTTTAAATACCATTATGATATACCATTATGATATACCATTATTATTTACCATTATGATATACCATTTGGATATACCATTATTATATACCATTATGATATACCATTGTTAGGTGATTATAATTATCTGGTTGGTGGTTTTAACCCCTCTGAAAAATATGAAAGTCAATTGGGATGATGACATCCCATATATGAAATGGAAAATAAAAGTCATGTTTGAAACCACCAACCAGTAGAAAGATTTATAACAGCTTTTAAATACCATTATGATATACCATTATTAGATGATTATAATTATCTGGTTGGTGGTTTTAACCCCTCTGAAAAATATGAAAGTCAATTGGGATGATGACATCCCATATATGAAATGGAAAATAAAAGTCATGTTTGAAACCACCAACCAGTAGAAAGATTTATAACAGCTTTTAGATACCATTATTACATACAATTATTATATACCATTATTAGATGATTATAATTATCTGGTTGGTGGTTTTAACCCCTCTGAAAAAATGAAAGTCAATTGCGATGATGACATCCCATATATGAAATGGAAAATAAAAGTCATGTTTGAAACCACCAACCAGTAGAAAGATTTATAACAGCTTTTAGATACCATTATCATATACCATTATGATATACCATTATTATATGATTATAATTATCTGGTTGGTGGTTTTAACCCCTCTGAAAAATATGAAAGTCAATTGGGATGATGACATCCCATATATGAAATGGAAAATAAAAGTCATGTTTGAAACCACCGTCCCCAGTTATAGATATACCATCATCATCCATCTATAGGGATTATGTGTACATCATATACTATACATATACCATCATCTATATCAACATATACTATCTCATGAAAACTACTAGTTATTATATACCATTATGATATACCATTCTTAGATGATAATGAAATGATGTCTATCTCCCATCCATCTTCCCAAAATGTCTTGCTGCCGAAGGGCGATAGCCGGTGCACAAGACCAGGCAGTCACATCTCGGCGCCTGGGTGCCATCCTGGAAGACCACCGCGTCGGCCGCGACGTGGTCGATCCCTGGCGCCGCGTCTCGGTTCCCGGGGCGGGGAACCCCGTGGGCGTCCCGGGCGTGGGACCATCGAAAAATGGGGGATTTCCCGGGAAAAATGGGGAAAAATGGGGAAATCACCATGGAAAAATGGGGATTTCCTAGATGTGGGATGAAAAATGGGATGAAGAATGGGATCTTGATGCTATTGAATGGGATTTGATGGTATTTGATTAACATCATTTTAACCATGAAACATGACAAGTGGGAACCAAACTGGGCTTTCAATGGTTTGAGGGGGAAGCAGTCAAGATTTGGGATGATATGTGTTTTTTTGGCATGATTTACAGCGATATCAAAGCAACCCGCAACCCCTTCCCCAAAAAAATAAAAAGTAAGTATTTCATAGTATTTCCAGGATGGTTTCTCTCCAAAATTTCCAGATATTTCACATAATTTCCAGGTTCCAGGCGTCCAAGTTCAACTTCCTGACCTTTTCGCGACCGGAAATGTGGTCTGAGCCCCACACCAGAAGAATTCACCAGGATCCTGGCGATTCACCAACAAAAACCCCCAAAAAATGCTGCTGTTCAGTACCAGCTGGTGGATTTATAATGGATTTATAGTGGATTTACCCATACCCTCTGGTTATGACTAACAGTTCGCCATGGTATAGATGGCCCATGAAAATAGATGGTTTACCGTTCTTAAAAATGGTGGATCTTTCCATGGCTATGTTAGTCATAACCAGATGGTAATACCAGTTGTAAACTATTGTAAATGGGAAAATCCAGTTGGACTTGACCAGGCTTATGAAAACCACTAGTATTCAAAACATTGATGGCACGAGTATGGGGACATATGTATGATAGAAATGGATAATGTCGTGGCATTCATAGGCGGATATCATAATGATTACACATGATTACATGTTACTACTATCAGGTGCTTGGGAAACTCCTACTATCAGATGCTCCAAAAGCCTCCCTAGGTCATCTACATCATCCCATTATGTGGTCAATCATTGTGGGCCAATGTCACCATCCGGTTTTGAGGGTCGTGGTGTCAATGTCCGTGTCAACATATCTTGACCCACACCATCCCACCCCTGGGCCCATGTCGATGTGGTCGTTTCTGAAACCATCGTCCTTCCGGTGGCCACTTTGTTCATGAACATGACGTTTTTGCAGGCAAACCTCCAAAGTCCAGCGCTGGTGCTGTCGGAATTCTGGGATTTGTTCAGTCTCTCAGCACCACTGCCAGCAGCAAACTACTATGGCTATCGAGCCCGTTGGTACCAGTCACCCAGACTTGCACAAATCTGGTTCTGAAATCTGCCTCCCACTTTCCTGAATTGTTCCACGGCTAGAATCTGCAGATGGCTAGAAATCCAATGTCGAATTCCTCTTCCAAACCCAGTTGTCTATACTTTTTGAGGCCCCCGGATCGCAGATGAAATCTTATGAAGGCATAATTTCATATCATCACATTAATCACATATGAAACGGTAACAAACATAAACATACATAAACAAAAATCATCATATAAACTTTATAGTCACACGATTCAAAATCCCCCCAGCCGATTGAAAACTCCACGTCTGATCCTATCCCAAAAAAAAAACAGTGGTGCTAGGTCCCAAATATGTGGTTGTATAATGTTGTATATGTGTTCATCCCCTCCTACATCTTAGGATTCATCATTGCCATGCAAAAAAACCCGTTCATCCCGAAGGGCTTCTGCCCTAGCTCTTGCTGGCCACTGCGGTTGCACCTGCCAGGTGGCGAATCTTTGATGGCTGGGGGTGGAATCTCAATGGTGAAAAACCACTTAGTGAGGCTCTACTTGGCTTTATTTTGGTAAACATAGCTAGGCAGCCGGGCATAGTTTGGATACAGATTCTTGGCGGACATATCTGAAAAAGAGATATCATGAGATATCTATAGTAGTGCGTGGGATTATAAACCAACGTATACTTGGGGGTCCTTCTATGGCCTGAAATCATTTGCCTAACATGATACTGACTGAGACTGACCAAAACTGCAGGTCGATTGATACCTTATTTAATGGCCCAATTGGGGTCAAAATTGTATACCCAGAGATTCGCAGGTTTTGGTTTTGGTCGTGTTTGGTCACTTAGGATATGGTAATTAGATGTATATCATCTAGGTTTGCGGTACCCAACTTTGACCCCCAAATCCTTGGCGGTAGATCAGGAAAGGCAGAAACAAATCACCAAGGCTGTAGGGATCTGAAGTCTTCAAGAAGTCTTCTTGATTGTACTAAAAGCGTCCAGATTGTTCTTGGCTCCAACATTAGGCCGTTCCTGCCTTTCCTGGCTTTCGCACTGCCACAACATCTGCATGTCATGCTGAGTTGAGACATGCGGGCTTGCCCCATCAGTATGATTCCTCCTCTACGGTCCCCCGAAAGAATCCAAAAGATAGAAAGGTAAAACAACAAAACAGTGGGATATAGTGGGGATAATATAATTTGGGAGAGAAATCAGCACGGATTACTGCAATTCTTCCATCTTTGGAGGACCTGGGACCTCCACTCCAATTCACCATGATAAATTGATATAAATTGGTGGATTTCTAGGTTCCTCAGCACCGGACCAATGATAGATGAGGCTCGCGACGTTCCTGGAGTACAAGGTATCCTGCACGTTTGCTGCATGGAAACCCTGAAATGATGAAACGACTCAAAAAAATGGGGCCTCAAGTTGGTGCTCAGAAGCTTGAGATCAAACCTGGAGACTTGAAACTTTTCTATACTTTTCTATTGAACAAGTTGTACACGGTTTGGTTTTGGTGGTAGGTGTTTGGCCCGAGCGGGGGCACTCTGGCACGAAACTACCAGCCCAGGGAGGTACGAGCCATCCGCTCCTTGTCTACATAGTTTGCCTTGGCGTCCTGGTTAAAGGCATCTTCCTTGTAGTGATGATCACCTGCTGCAAAGACGGGAGATGGGTACTAATGGGTACAGTATATCATAATACATATTTCTAATAGAAGGGTCTTTCTGTTGTAGATGACACGTACCTCCTAATTGCCAGGCATTTAAGTTTTGTTATTAAGCTATCTTGTTGGGAGTGCTATGGGGTGCTTGGGTACAGTAATATCTCTTTGTGGCAAAAGGTCATGCAAAAATCCATCAAGCTGGGTACCGCTTGGCGACATCGGTGACGTTGTGCCTGTTCCAAGGAACGGGAAAAGGAAGAAGAGCAATGCCTCGTCAACAGTCGTTCCCAAAGGGGATGCCATCTGGAGAAAGAACCTATCCAGAGATTGCAAGTTCAACATTGGGTTATAGTAGGTTATTTTCACAGGAAGAAATGATGTAAGATTATGTTATGTTAGCAAATAAAATGGTTATTGCAACCTCAGTAAAACAGCAAAACAATTTACGAACAACCATTTTGGTAGGATTTTACTTGTCTACCTTTCTAGGTGAATGTGGTGTTCTCTAGATGGTCCAGTCTCCAACCATCTAAGTATCTAATGCTCGATCTTGGGACCGCAGGCTCCCAAAAAACGTAGCGAATTTTGGCGAAGACCCGTTTGTCAAGAATAGGGATTCCCACCGTCACCAAGATCTCATAAAAAGTCGATTTCCTAGCATTCAGGTGTTGTCTCGTTACTTTCAGGTTTCGTGTTTTGAAGTGCGCAACAGCAACCATAACCCAATATCTGTTCCACAGGGTCTTTCATGTTCTGCCTTGGTGGCACATTTGCACCCACACTGGAGAAGTAATGCGAGGTTTCATGTGACTTGATGCTTGTCAGAAACAAGCCAGCTGAGCCGACAGCAATAGGTTTGGCACCTAACCGAGCATTAGCAGAGAATGCAAAACACTTTACAAGTCAACCAGCGAAGCATTTCAGCTCACAATCTTTTTGCTGACAAGGGTTTTGGCGCAACCGCAGGCAATCATACTGATGCAATCCTCTCAGTCCTTCTTGGCGCTCGGACATCTACATTTACATCCTTGTGGCTATCTTCCTTCTTTGACTGGTGCCGGCAACCCCCTGGCACAGGCATACCACCGCGCCCCGGCGCCCCGGCGCCCCGGCGCACAGCTCTCCCACCACCGGGCCTTCTTTTAAGACACTTTCTGAGCCAAGACAAAATTTTCTAGGAGGCACAGGCTTGCATTTGGGTCTTGGACATGTTGCCTTTGCCTGTGCAGCTGACACCACCAAACTTGCCACACCAGGAACCTGTGGCTGCATCTTTGCTGCGGCATTGCTTCTCCCAAACCAGGGACAGACAAACGCCTTGGACCCAATCACCACACAAAAGAAGGGGGATGGCTTTGGCTAAACCACCATCCTTGTTTTTCAACGTCCAAAATGCCGAAAAAAATCGACAGGTATCTATTTTATTTTATTTTGCCCAAAATTCCCGCAGAGATATTTTGCCAAAATATCTTGCAAGATATTTCGCCAAAATCTCATGAACGATACTTTGCCAAAATATCCCGAAAGATATTTTGCCAAAATATTCCGAAAGATATTTTGCCAGAATATCCCACCAGATATCTTGCCAGAATATCCCACCAGATATTTTGCCAGAATATCCCGCAAGATATTTTGCCAGAATATCCCGCCAAATATTTTGCCAGAATATCCCGCCAAATATTTTGGCAAAAATTTGCCAACATATCCCACAAGATATCTTGCCAAAATAGCCACAAGGATCCTTAGGAGACAATCTGCATCACCCCTTGCTGGTTCACATCAAAAGTCTTCCAGGGGCGATGGTTTCACCCGGACCATCACCCTCTGAACGGGTGCCAGCCATGATAAAGATAGCTTTCAAAGCAATGCACAGTTGCAGTTTGCTGTCTGGCATTCGGAAAACCTGTTAAAACACATTTTCGAGGGTGATATGATGACAACATACCTCACGCTGTCAGCTTGTCCATCTGTCAGGGGACGATGGTTTCACCCGGACCATCACCCCTGGAAACTTTCTGGTTCGGACCCCAAAAGGGCGATGCAGATTGTCTCCTAAGGATCCTTGTGGCTATTTTGGCAAGATATCTTGTGGGATATGTTGGCAAATTTTTGCCAAAATATTTGGCGGGATATTCTGGCAAAATATTTGGCGGGATATTCTGGCAAAATATCTGGTGGGATATTCTGGCAACATATCTGGTGGGATATTCTGGCAAAATATCTGGTGGGATATTCTGGCAAAATATCTTTCGGGATATTTTGGCAAAGTATCGTTCATGAGATTTTGGCGAAATATCTTGCAAGATATTTTGGCAAAATATCTCTGCGGGAATTTTGGGCAAAATAAAATAAAATAGATACCTGTCGATTTTTTTCGGCATTTTGGACGTTGAAAAACAAGGATGGTGGTTTAGCCAAAGCCATCCCCCTTCTTTTGTGTGGTGATTGGGTCCAAGGCGTTTGTCTGTCCCTGGTTTGGGAGAAGCAATGCCGCAGCAAAGATGCAGCCACAGGTTCCTGGTGTGGCAAGTTTGGTGGTGTCAGCTGCACAGGCAAAGGCAACATGTCCAAGACCCAAATGCAAGCCTATGCCTCCTAAAAAAATTTGTCTTGGCTCAGAAAGTGTCTTAAAAGAAGGCCCGGTGGTGGGAGAGCTGTGCGCCGGGGCGCCGGGGCGCCGGGGCGCCGGGGCGCGGTGGTATGCCTGTGCCAGGGGGTTGCCGGCACCAGTCAAAGAACGAAGATAGCCACAAGGATGTAAATGTAGATGTCCGAGCGCCAAGAAGGACTGAGAGGATTGCATCAGTATGATTGCCTGCGGTTGCGCCAAAACCCTTGTCAGCAAAAAGATTGTGAGCTGAAATGCTTCGCTGGTTGACTTGTAAAGTGTTTTGCATTCTCTGCTAATGCTCGGTTAGGTGCCAAACTTATTGCTGTCGGCTCAGCTGGCTTGTTTCTGACAAGCATCAAGTCACATGAAACCTCGCATTACTTCTCCAGTGTGGGTGCAATGTGCCACCAAGGCAGAACATGAAAGACCCTGTGGAACAGATATTGGGTTATGGTTGCTGTTGCGCACTTCAAAACATGAAACCTGAAAGTAACGAGACAACACCTGAATGCTAGGAGATTGACTTTAAACCAAATCAAATCGATATACTATTACACAAATATCATCAAATATTAGATGTTTGAAAGGGTTTGAAACTGCGACCCCTGAAAATGGGATAATTTGGGTTCCCAAAACCACAATTTTGATGGCCCATCGGTGCCCATCCCCCCCATTGGGTATAGTCAGCTGTGGGATACTAGGCTTCCGGACTGCTATGGTGCACATCAGCCGATTCAGGAAATCTCTGAACCTGGACAGTCATCCCAGTAGAAAAAGCTGCGGCTGGGAACAAAAATCGGGGGTTCCCCGGCTGAGATTCTTGGGAAATGGAAACGGATGGAACTGGTGTCCAAAATTGTCCAAATCATCTCGAAATATGGAAACCATGGCTGAGATGCTTCCTAAGGCCTGGGATGTCTGAATCCCAAACCTGGAGGGGTCGTCCGAATTGAGGTTCTTAGGAATTTGTGTGTTGGAACTGGAGAAGCTGTTGTGAGATTACAATCCGTCACTCCTGTATACAAATACCTTCAAACCAAACCCTTGGGGTTTAGCTGATAAGACCCGATACTAAACAAAGGTTTCCGAAAGGCTGTTTATGGGACCCAGATTAGAATCCATTGGAATCAATTGACCCACAGATATGTAACCTGCAATGGGACGGCGCTCTGTCTCTTTTTCTAGGCCTAGGCCTGGTTGTTGACTATGATGAAGCCCTTGGGTCGACTCCAAACCGCCTCACCTGTCACCAGATCGTACCACCATGATTTCCCTGTGGCGGGATCCGTGTACTGCGCAAACAGACTTTGCGGCTGCATCCTTTGAAACCTGCTCCAAAACTCAACATATTCTTGGGTTGGCATTGCTCCAGCACTTTGGGGTACTTCGCCCATGCCGCACCCATTTGGCATTGCTCTAGCGCTTGGAGGCACTTCGCCCACGCCACACCCTTGCGGCATTGCTCCACTTGGGGGTACTTCGCCCATGCCACGTGGCCTTGCTCCAGTGCTTGGGGGCACTTCGCCCATGCCGCACACATTTGGCATTGCTCCAGCGCTTGGAGGCACTTCGCCCACGCCACACCCTTGCGGCATTGCTCCACTTGGGGGTACTTCGCCCATGCCATGTGGCCTTGCTCCAGTGCTTGGGGGCACTTCGCCCATGCCGCACCCATGTGGCCTTGCTCCACTTGGGAGCACATTCCCCATGCCACATTCATGTGGCCTTGCTCCAGCACTTTGGGGCACTTCGCCCACGCCACACCCTTGCGGCATTGCTCCACTTGGGGGCACTTCGCCCATGCCACGTGGCCTTGCTCCAGTGCTTGGGGGCACTTCGCCCATGCCGCACCCATGTGGCCTTGCTCCACTTGGGAGCACATTCCCCATGCCACATTCATGTGGCCTTGCTCCAGCACTTTGGGGCACTTCGCCCACGCCACACCCTTGCGGCATTGCATTGGGGGTATTCCAGTCGCACAGCTTGAAAGGCACATCGCTCCGTGCGCCGCCTGGGTGCTGGATTTGCCCCGGTCATCTGCCGATCTTGACTGGGGACATTTGAAAGCCAAATATGCACAACATGAAGCACTAGGTCAAGTTTTGTTGATTATATATAAAAATAGTTTTGGGGAAGTTTAGTCATGAAAGGGGTAAGAGATTGTTGACCAGTTGATCCTGAAATGAAGTTATGATCCACCAACTGCAAGAATGAATCGCCTTGCATCCGTATCTTCAATTCCATGAAAATATCTCCATTCATGTGAAATGAATCCGGCAAATGCTGATTGCTTCCACTTCCCCCCCGCATAGCGCATAAGACACATCAAAGAATATGTTCATGATGTTCCTGATGTTCATGGCTTTATGTATTCGGTGTTGAATTACCAGCAATCCAATCTTATGTCAAAATATGTCAAAGTCCTCAACTTTCAGTCCACCAGTGCGGGTTCAATCCATGGAAAATCCTCCCCTCCTGCAGGGTATATGGGACCAGCACCCTGGAAATCGCGGCGATGGGGTAGATCCTCTCAGGGCTCGGTGGGCCATCGCTTCGCAGCATCATGATGAGCCCGGAGAGGTGATCGAACATCAACCTGCCAAACTCGAACAATGCCGGTGATTTCTGGGAAAATCCATAGGAAAATCCATGGGAAAATCCATAGGCCATAGGAAAATCCATGGGAAATCTCATGTCACTAGACTTTTTCCATGATTTTTCCCCCCAGGGTAAATTGGGTAATGATCAATCACCAGGAAAAAACAACCTTTGGTAGGCAAGTATGGTCATAGAACATCGACCGCCTAGAGCATCAGCCGTTTGTGAAGAATGATGTGACGTGAATCACTTCTTGAATCCATTCAAAACCTGAACTAAGTTCGCCCTCTTCAAAACTAGTGGATCCATTGGGACGCTTTAAGCCCCGCTTAAACCCCAGCCTGCCGACCATCTTGGAGCGATGCAAGTCTGGCAAATCCCAACTTTGCCAGCGGACGGAATCCTCCAGATGGCCACGACGGTGCAGATTCTGATAATGCACAGGGCCCACCAGGGTATTGGCCCACAAGGAATGGCCACTTGGACAAATGGGGCAGCAATGCTCAGTAATTCCGTGGGCTTCCAGAAGCGCGATCAACCTATGGCTGACATTAAAAAAAAACAAAACAACAAAAGGTCGCTGGTAGATGTGGCTAGTCTAGTAGGTTTTATATTGAGGTTTCCTGAAATAGGGGTACCCCCAGTTCTCATCCATTTATAGTAGGATTTTCCATTATAAACCATCCAGCCATTGGGATACCTCCATTTGTGGAAAACCCCATATGGTTTTATGGAGGTGAAAGTTAAGGACCATCGTCTGACCGCTATCGAACCCCCAAGCGAAGGCCACCGCGTTGGGTTTGGATTTATATATATATATGTATATATAGGCTTGTCCAGGCTTCTGGAACTACCTAGGGGTGGGGGGGGGGGGGGGGGATGTTACGTTCATCGTGAATTGCGTGTAAACGTTCGGGGTGGATGTTAAGTTCTGTGAATTCTGGTAACGTTCTGTGAACTTGCGGATGCAGTGATGTAACACGTACGCGGGTGGGGGGGGGTGGGGTGGGGTGGGAATGTTAAAGGTTCAAAAGTGAACTTGCGGCAAGTTGATGCTAGCATCACGCGGGGTGGGGGGGGGTGTTGGGTGGGGTGGGATGTGAACGTTCATGTGAACTTGCGGCAGCAGTTGATGCTACGCACACCAGGGCCTGGACAATATATATATATATACATACATAGATATACTGAATATATTTACCGACATTTTTGGTATATTTATACGTATTCAACAGTTTTTCACTTGATGTATATACATATATAACTAATATTTTACTTGATTGGGTGTCTCTTGCTCGCTGCAGGTGCGAGACTCAGTGCGGAGGTTGTTGGTGGTCTTAAATCTCGGCTGCAATGATGGGCGGGTCCTAGAGCTGGATGGTCCTTTGTTTGGGTGGAATTATTTGTATATAGATATATGGTACTGGAGTTCAGTCTGGAGTGATGGATAGGTAGCACTGATTCGCCCTTAGTTATGCTAATTCATGATCGATTGTGTATAGTGATAATTCAGGGTTTCGTGTGCTTCTTGCAAATTCATACTTCATGATTATGATAACTGGTTTGTAGTTACTGACGATGCTATCTGATAGATAAAAAGGAGGAATCACCGGAGAGCATTGGAACGCATTCAACGCTGCATGCTTCTCGTTTTCTTTCGGTTATTTGAAGCTCAATTTTTTCCCGTTTCGATGCTGTAGATGTTGTCCATATGCTGTCTCATTTGCAACTCTTCGAGTTATTAACTCTGCTCACAGCGCTTCGCTGCTGTGCTGGTTTGCCGTGGGATTGGCTTCTGTGCGAGCACGAATGTCTATGTGATGCTGCTCAATTTCTGATCATGGGCGGTGATGAGCTCTCTAGCTACCGCGCCTTTTTTCATCCTTTGGAAGGATCCTCTTCCGAGGCGACGTTGATTTTGAGCCTTGAAAGTGAGCGATTCGAGCTTCTGACACAATCTGTTCTCGGACTCTTCAGGAAACTATGGAATGGCTCCTCGGTGTGTTTTTGGTGAAGACAGCTGTTGGTTCGGTTCAGCTGCACTCTTCCTTAAAAAACTTGATTCCTCCTGAGGTTTGGTCCAATGTCATTTTGCTGGTGGCAGTGGTTTTTTCACGGAACAGCAACTGCTTTGGTTACTCCCAGACAGGGACACTTTCGTTGAACGCAGAAGACAGTCCGAAAGCATCGAGCCTTGGTTTGAGGATACACATCTGCCATTTGATGTGGTCGCTGATTGGGTGAGCTGCAGCTTCAAAGCGGCAGAAGGACATTGGGATAGGCCGCTGCTGTCTGTCGATGTCTCAAATGAATCACGTGGCCACGACATGAAGTCCTTCTCCGAGTTTGCTTTGGACTTCTACTGCGGAGATGACATTGTGATTTCGTCAGATTCGGAGCCTGGGGCAGAGGAACTTGCTCATTGGTCTTCTGTATATCAGGAGGTGCGGTTTTTGTAAACATTGCAAATTAGTTCACTCAGGTTTTGCTCCCTGATCAGGTACCCTCCTTGTCTCCGCAGCACGATGACGATTCGCCACCTTCTCGTCGCATGAAGAAGTATGAGCACTTATGGCGCCGCTATCCACCAGACACTGCTGCAGCATCTTCATCGTGGGAGAGTCCTGAGCCTTTGCAATTACAGGCGTCTACGCAGCTTCAAACTGTGCAGACATTGCGAGAGTGGGAGCAAGAGGAGATTCATGCTGTGAACCGCATGACCATGGATTTGCTTTCCACCACTGCAGACATGGAATCACACATGATGGAAGACGACCCGATCTCCGATGTGGCGTCGCTCCATGATGCTGCGGAAGTAACGCTGGAGAGACCGACAAAGTATGGTCGCTGTCCAAGACATCGATGTGTGCTATATCCTCACCTTCACCGGCACAAGGAAAGCACTTTGTGGGGCACCGTTTACCTCCGTTGTGCGCAATTCAAGGACCGCCAAGCAGATGGCCGTCCTGGCTGTTGGTACAAGAGAGCTTTGTCATCTCAGGAATTGGATTCGCTGCCAAAATCTGTGGTGCGAGCACGTGCGGAAATCCGCAAGGACATTGCGTGGCAGCTGCGCAATCCGCGCTGACCATTCGAATGCGGCAAACAAAAGTGTTGAACTCCTCTTCTCTGTGCCTTCTCACTGGTTGAAGTTTATAAAAACATATACATGCGGATATACATAAAATATATACATAACATATATATACATAATATTTATATATATATGTTATGTCTATATATATATACATTTGTTTAAAAATATCATATGATCCAGTAAATATATTTTATGGGCATTCGCATGATACAGATCTGTTTGCTGCCGATCTTGGTAAAGGATCCACTGGTTAGCAAGCCATACTTCACGTGCTGCTGGAGAGATTGGCCCGATTTTTTTTTCCATCTTGAGATCGCCTGACCGTATTTCCATATCGTTTTCCATATGTGGTACGCCACCGATGTCTCGTGGTGCACAGCAGCGCCATAAGAAAGGTGCTGCTAGGCTGCAAGCTCGTGCTGCGAAGCCTGCATCCAGCAGCTTCAAAGCCCGCTACGTTCCTGCCAGCCAGCAATGTGATGCACCTACACAACGGAGCCGTATCGTTTTGCACACCACTAGTGAACAGCTTCAAAAGATGAACGACCGTGCTCTCTACGAGCACTTGGTTTCTACTGGTCATCTCTCCAACCTCAGTGACAAAGTGTGTTTGTGGTGCCAACAGAAAAGCTTGGGCAATGCGAACCGTGAAAAGGTTCCTCAGGTGCTGCAGAAGACTAGGGCTACGTCCCGCAGATGCGGGCGCAAGGACTGCAATGCTTGGAATCATCCTCCTTTTGCACATCCCTGCTTTGTTATCCCTAGGCGCACTGACATGGGCCTTTCTTTGCAGAAGCAAGCCAGGCTCTTGTTCCATGCTGCTTGGAACACGCAGCCACTGGCCAATGTCAGAGCAGAGCTTGGATTGAATGAATGCACCATTAGCGCCGCATATGCTCGTTGGCGTGCAGTACTCAAAGTCTGGGTGGAGCACAAGCAGGCCAGCATTCGGCATGGCGGCAACTATGAGGAAGCAGAAGTGGATGAGGTTATTCTTCGAAAGCGAGATTTACCTGGCAGAAAGGTAGCATGGACCGAGTATGTCGGCCTGAAGACTCGAGGAGACCGAGAAAGTCTCGTACTTCGAAAAAGACCTGCGTCCAAGTCAGTTTCCACCAGAGCAGAACCTGTGCGAAGAGCCAAAAAAGGCAGAGTTGCGCCTCCTCCGCTCACCAAAGCTGAATGGCTGGACATGGCCCGGGACCATTGCAAAGACAAGCTCATCGTGCATGCTGATGGTGCCGTCACCTATGATGCCAAACCTGCTGACATGGACATCCGCAAAGACAGTGTGAACCATGGTTGTCGCAATGGTGGACCGTACTACACCAAGAAAGCGACCCACAAACATCTGAAAGGACAGCCAGTTGGGAAAAACAAGAAAGCAACCGTGGCCGGCACGCAGAGTTTGGATGGTTGGTGGAAATCACCGAAAATGAATTTGCGAGGTGTGAAATCCTCCTGTGAAGATGTTGTGGATGCCCGTGTGGCTCAAAGCCAATGGCATCACTGGATTGGCAACAAGGACCCCTGGAAGACACAGGGAGAGGTCCTCAAAGCTGTGCGAGACTTGCAGCTGCTGTGAAGAAACTTGCAGCTGCTGTGAAGGGTGATGATGATGATGATGATGATGATGATGATGTAATGATGATGATGATGATGATGGTGATGATGATGATGATGATGATGTAATGATGATGATGATGATGATGATGATGATGATGTAATGATGATGATGATGATGATGATGTGATGATGATGATGATGATGATGATGATGATGATAATGACCCTAATGAAACTTGTTAATTCCGCGACGAAATTTCGTCACGGAATGGACAAGTTTTACCAACCTAATTCAGGTTTAGGTAGTTCCAGAAGCCTGGACGAGGCTATATATACATATACAGTGTATACATAAATATATATATATAACGATCCGCAAACATCCCCACATTCCTACACGGTAAAATCCCACATGTCATGATATTCCCAATGTTTTGTTGTTTTGTGATACTGTTTTCTAGCAAAAAAAACATGTGATTGATGAAACATGGAATCCCAGAAATGATTTGGCCAATCCCCAGGGGTCGCCACCTTTCAGCCGGCCGTTGCATCATTGCCTTCCAGCGGGGTTTGCCGCCGTTGGTCGTCGGCCATTGGTCAGTCCAGTGCTGATCCCCAGGCTGATCTTTCCAGAGTTCACACGCCACTTGGGTGCCCACGCAGTACCACACTCCTGGACCATGGCTGCCATGGCTTCTGAGACCCCAAAAAACCTGGTGGAATACGGAATATGTTGTGGATCTAGTTATGAATAGTGGGCTTAAGATTCGCTGGATCTGGGTCACCACCATCAACCCCTGAAAAATGAATGGTCCAACCAGCATGGAGCTGACCACCAGCAGCCAGGTGATCCATTAGGAAAGTGAGTAGTGAGAAGCCATTAGTAACGTGGTAAAAGGTTGAACGACCATATGTTGTGTCCGCAGAATGTGTCTCAATGTATCTTTATCCATATTTGTTTCCTTCCCCCAAGGGTATCCTTTTCCTTGCGCCAGTGACGGATTTTGGGTATTCTTACCGGTTGGATTTGTCATGTCCAGAAACAAGTTGCAACTAAGAGTTTGTTTTGACAACCATTGTAATAGTCATTCCCTATATAGGGACTTTAGACCGACTCCCCTATATATCACTGAATATATATATATATAATGAACATAATATAATATAATATAATATAATATAAATATACAATAAATATATATATAATAAATATATATATATTAAATATATATATATATACATAATAAATATATATATATATATATAATAAATATATATACATAATAAACATATATATATAATAATATATATATAATAAATATATATATATAATAAACATATGTATATAATAAATATATATTATATATATAATAAATATATATATATATAATAAATATATATATATAATAAATATATATATATAATAAATATATATATATATAATAAATATATATATAATAAATATATATATAATGAATATATTTATATATAATATATGTAATAAATATATATATAATAGTATATATATATTATAATAAATATACTATATGCCTAAAATAGAATAAGTAAATACATACAATAAATGTGTATATATATAATAAATATATATAAGCAATATATATATTATAAATATATATATAATCAATATATATATAATATATATAATATAATAAATAAATAATATATATATACATAATATATATATACATAATATATATATATACATAATAAACATATATTTAAATATATATATTATATATATATGTAATAAACATGAATAATAAATAGCTATTTATACTTACAGTATAATAAATACATATATATATAATACATGTATATATATATGTAATAGCTATACATAATAAAAACATAGTTATATCATAAATATATATACAATGAATACATATATATATAATTAATAAATATAAATAATAAATATAAATATAATATATATATATTATAAATATTTGTAATGAATATTTGTAATAAATATTGGTAAGAAATATTTGTAATAAATAGATATATATATATAATATAATAAATATATATGATAAATATATATATATACAATATATATATAATAAATATATATATATAATAAATATATATATATAATAAATATACATATATAATAAATATATATATATACATAATAAATACATATAAATATTTTTTCCGTAAGTTCCACAGCAACTGAAGCCATACATCTAAAAGGAACATACATAGAGCATTTATAATGTGTATATTATATATATAATTACACATCTATATACATACACATTATATGTATACAGCATATAATTCCACATATGTATATATGTATATATAATTATATAACTATATATATATACACATAGACATACCGCATTCATGTAGAGATCCCCTCCGGCCTGTGTCTGGAAGATCCTCTGCTCTCATCACATTGATTCCCAGGTACGACTTTTGCCGTCGCGCTTGCAGCTCGCCGGTGAGGTAGTTGATTCTCACCTTTCGCAGCGGGAAAACGCTGATGTTTTTTATCGATGTTCCCATCATTTATCAGCCAGAACATATGTTGGTTACAGTATGGTAATCTAGCAATCTAACATAACAGTGGAAAAATCACCACTCTGAAAAGGCAAATCATAGCAATAATGGGCCATGTTCCGTGGCTATATTAAATCACCAGAGGGTGTTGCAACTCTATTTCCCATTGCCAAATGTTTGATGGCCGGAGGGTATGATCGTACGACAGTTGGTCTTAGGGCAAATAGCTCCAAATGTTGAGGCATTTCGGGGAGTACTTGTACCAGCCGTCATTTACGATGAGGTTGTTGTGAGTCACTATATTCTACCCAAGCTATAGCAGCAACATCCAAAATACACAGTAGTCTTAAACCAACTACAAACATTATCAAACATTGTTGTGGCAAACATGATTGGGTTCACCCAGTAATCTCTACTAAATCCTAATGAAGAATATGGGAATCATTCCGAACTCACCCCCAACATGTGGTGAATAACCTGTGGACTATACTCATTGTACGATCGTTTCTACATGTTCAGAAGTGTTCCTTATACAATATTATATAATAATATAATATAATATAATATAATATAGTATCATATAATATAATATAGTATCATATAATATAATATAATATAATATGATATAATATAATGTAATGTGATGTGATGTAATATAAATCATATAATATAACTTAATATAATAGATACAATAGTTCTTAAGTGAACTATCACATGTTGGAGTACCCAGTCATGAAAACCCATCCTCACCTCCCCCAAGACGAAAGCCCAAGATTGCCAATACCTCTCAGTAGTTTGACCGTTAAGTCTGGCCGTCTCTTTGGACACATTGTTCAAATTGTTCCACAGGAACTTGAAATGGTTGGTTCCACAGACATGCGCCACGTAGCCAGCCCTGCTATCTTGTCCTGGACAAGCATTGCAAACGGGAGCATAGCCAAACGCACTCAGCAGCTCGTGTAGAAATTTCGAAGTTTCACGAAAGCAGTCTGCGTAGGCTTCCTGGAGCCAGGCCATGCCCACATGTCGTGGCAGGGGATCCATCACCCTGGGTTGATCATCCCATGTCAACCCAAAATCTCCAATTAATAAACCCCCAGTCTACTTTTTTGCGGCCCTGTTTTGATAGCACTTGATCATACCATATCATACATACATTATCACTGGGGATAACCCCCTGCTTAATCCAAAGATCTCCAAAGAGTTTTTACGCGTGCAACTGCGCCGCCAACCCCGTGTAAACCCCACCTTGTTCATGGTCACCTGCTGTGGTGCATGCAGTAAACACCAATTCTCATCCGTGGACACGTTCGTGAAAAACCTTCGGAGCGTGTTCGCATAGCATGGATTTTTCAGATCCACGAAGTAGTGCTCCAGGTTTTCATACATCAGCTGCATCCCGGTTCGTTGGTCAGAAGCCAAAGGACTGACGGTCTGGTGCCAAGAACTGTCCTGTTTATTGAATGATTCGTTTCAGTTACAGTAAGTCAGTTTGTTGTTTGTTGCATCTTCTACAGGAAGAAATTCTGCCAAAGTCTTCACGTGAATTCAACCATGTTTTCACCATTCAGGATCAGGTTGTACTGCCCCGAAGAATGGTTTTTAGGAACTTCGTCATCTTACCTCTTAGAAGGTCCGGGCTCTCATATCTGTCCGTTCGCAAGGACAACTTGAAGCTAGACGCATTAGACGCTTTCGAAGTTCGCGAAAGTTCTGGATCAAAGATTGTTAAAGTCATGTGTTGTCGATGACAGTGTGGTTGTTGATGGTACTTAGTCACTCAATGTCATTGACAAGGAATCAATCGAGCATCACTTTGCAGCCCGACGCTTCAGCGGCGCAGAACAGACTCCAAGTTCTGTAGGAGAAACCGTGACTGGTTGGTGGTCAACCCCCTGAAAAATATGTGTCCATTGGCATCAACATCCATCAACATCCGGGGTGGTTGTAGAAAAAATGCCAAGCAGTGATAATTCACCACCTGTGACATTCACTATTTTGTGGACATTTCCAGGCGCATAAAACCATGATTCAGAAAGTGGGCAGGCCATGATTTTCATATCCAACCTGCCCTTTGCCCCATCATAAGCCCAGCAATGAAAAACCAGATACAGCGGCATAAGGATGCACCGGGCGATTCTTGAAACGGGAAGCCCGGCATCCATTCAGAAGCGGTTGCGTTACCCTTCCTGTATTCCAACCTGGCGTTATCCAATGTAGATATTCAGATATGTAATTATGTTCAATTATATCTATGATTATCATTGATTATCTATGTATCAATGAGAAGACATTTTAGGTACCTAAATTGGAGGGATCTCGCCCTTCCAAGGTCTATATGACTATAAATTTCGGTCATTGGCCATTGAATCAACGCCAAGAGAAAGCCTGGCACGATGCATGAAGATTCCTTAGGCTCTACTTGGTCGGGAAGTGGCTGACTTTCAGGATGCTTGGTCATCTGTCATAAAAACGCCTCCATAATCATGATTAATGTATATATTACATGTCTTAAATGGATTGCAGAAATTAGTACTCGACTTGAAAAAAAGGTCTCAATGTATGGAATATCCCCCTTCCAACCGATTTGAGATGATTTGAGGCATGTTGAAAAGGCTCTTAACATTTCTTAACCATGAATTCCGGCGAGGTCCAAAAAAAGGTCTCTGAATTCGCCGGCGCACCTTCGATAGTGTTGCAGTGGAACCAACAAGTAGTCGTGTCGAAGATGGGACCTCAACTCGCCAGGATGACTCCACCGGCGCTGGATAACTTGGTCGCTGTTTCATTCCCCATCTTTGGTGACTATAAATGATGTGCTGGTTTCATAATGTGGTGGAAATTATGTTGGGTCTCATTTTTGTTGGCTCCATCAGTTTCATCCTCACTTAATTGGTTTACAAAGAAATATATTAGATAGTCTCTCCATTTATGTGTATGTATGCCATGTATGCCAATCATTTACAGCTGGTTAGCAAATCGGTAAATGTCTTCATTTGTGACAAACAAGAAAAACTGTAAATATTACGTGTACTTTACGTATACTTTACGTATAGTATATATATATACATAATTTATATAATATATTTATATAATATCTTTATATGATATTCACGTCGCTTCGCGACGGCAACGGCCCGCACCGCATCGTTGGGCAGCAGCTCGTAACTGCCAATGATGTCGGCCATTGAGACCAAAAACATCCGAAAGTACTGATTGAGAATTTGATAGCCATGTATAGCGGATCAACGCAGTTCAAAAAATAACGAAAAACATGAAAAAACGGCGAAATTGCTGTTATTTACACTGTTTTTGCGCGGTGAGAAGCAGAAACCACTGCAAATACCATGGTTTTTGAGGGTCAGGTGGCCAAAAACACTGTAATTTACAGTGTTTTTTTTTAACCAACGTCAAAAAACACTGGTATTTACGATGTTTTCATTCACACCGTAACATAAAACAGCGTAATTTACGAGGTTTTTGGAAGTTTTGAAGCTAGCCGTCAAGCATGCAGAAAACAGAAAAACAATGTAAAAACCAGTGTTTCTGCTATCGCAAAACGACGAAAATCAGTCCGAAAACGGGTCCAAAAACTCAAAAATCCGCCTCCGGGCCCGGCCACCTGCGGAACCGCAAAAAAAGATGTTGCAAACCAAAAAATTGAGGTCAAAAAGTTGAAAAACACCGGTTTTTTCACTTTTCGCTTGCCGATTTTGGACGGGCGCATTCACGAACAGGTGTCTTCCGTACTGTTTTTTACAGTGTTTTTTGAAGGCGAGCGTCACGACCTATCAAAAACAGGAGGTTTTGGCCGAAAAATGCCCCCCCCCCCCCAGGTAAACCTGTAACCTTTTACGAGTGCCATCCGGAAGATCACGCCCCAGCACCTTCGGTGCGGGCGGATTTTTACACTATATCTTTATGATATATTTATATGATATGTTTATACGTATGATATATTCATATTTATGATATGTTTATATGATATCTTTATATGATATCCTTATATGATATCTTTATATGATATCTTTATATGATATCTCTATTTGATACTTTATTATGTATATATAAGTGAAAAAACTGTATGTTTCATATTAGTGAAAGCAATGTATATAATTACCCAAGCAGAGTTTCCCCAAATCATATCCCTGTGATTTGTGTCTCAAACCACGTGGTTCACTGCTGCCAGAGCTACGTGAAGGCGTCCGATGAACAGCCCAAGGGGTTTTCGTGGAAAGGTCGGGCCTCGACGGTTGCAACGCATCCACCAAGTTTCTTTTACAGGTTATCAGATATCATAGATTTTAGATTATAGACTAATCAGGCTATCAGAGATGATTATAGATTATGATCATATATCATCATAGACGAATAGCAATACTCTTAAATGGTGACTTCCCCAAGGAATTCCCAATGGGCATCCGGCATGGCCGGTCCTTGGCGCCCCTGACCAAACGAGGGATCAAATATGGGAAACTTCGTAGAGCCAAGACCTTGCAGAGCTTGAAACTGATGCAACTTCACCAGAACATGCATCAATGTCAGCATGTGAAGAACAAATGAACAAAACCCCGAAATCTTATTCCATTGAATTACTGCTTCGTAGATTTTTTGTTCATTCCCCGTTCTTGGATTATTACAATCCCCAATATATTGGCTAGTATATATAATCCCGGAAGTAATCATCAACCAACCGGGGTTTTGATCCGCCAGGTTTGTTGACTGGAGTGTACGCCAAAAAAGTGCACAGTGTTCCGACCTAGCAGCTTTGTCACATGTCTGAAGACAACATAATACAACTAGTTCACTTTGTTTAAGCAAGATTTTCTGTCAAAAAAAAAATGAATATCAATTATATAACAATTCTACATATTCTCCATTTAAGTAAAAACCATGCACTTTTTGTTGAGCATTTTTTTTCGTGACCGAGGTCATCCCATATTTTCCTGTCGGTCGGTCATCCCATGTTGCCCGCGCACCGTCGACTTGGCCACCTGGCCGACAGGGAGACAGGGCCGGGAATCCCCGATGTTTTAAGTGGCTTTACCCTCTGGTTATGTCAAAATAGCTATTGAAAATGGTGATTTATAGTGGATTTAATGGTATTTTATGGTGGTTTAATGGGATCTAATGGTGATTCATGGAGGTTTAACCTCTGGTAAACTGTCACATAACGAACTGGAAAGATCCACCATTTTATAGCTGGGTAAATCCACTATTTCGACTGGGCCATTTCCAATAGCAAACCGTTAAATGACCAGAGGGTACCATGGTTCTACCGTGCTCTTCATGGATGATAAACTCACCATCACGAGATATATAAAACATTATAAAACCATCGCTTTTCATCCCAAAATTCTTGGAAATCTCATTCAGAATCATAGGTTTCTATGATCCCATGGGTATCAACATTTTGATATGAAGTACGTATATATATATAATTATATATAGGCATCAGTCATATGGTGTGTATCTGTATGTACGTATGTATATAATATATATATATATATACATCTACATAAATTTACACCCTCAAAGAGAAAATAACATGTTGCCTTGGGGAAAAACATGTTGCTACTACAATATATATATATAAGTTTGGGCAACTCGGGGTGATGTCATGTCAGACTTTAAAGTAACTTTAAAGTGATACCGGATTGAATATTGAAGATTCTCTCCAAGATTTTGTTTCAATTGTTCAATCCTCTAGAGCATACTTTTTGACACTTAAAAATGGTATTGGAGGAGCTCGGGATATGATCCAGAGGTAGCAGTATGTTCAATCGTCTTCGAAACATTTCGAAACCACCAACCAATATCACAATATAATTAGTTGATATTACGAGAATATTTATATTAATATACAATACATATTCATTACCCTCCGGTAATTTAACATAGCTATTGAAATGGCCCATTTATAGTGAGTTTTCCCATTAAAAATGGTGATTTTCCATAGTTATGTTAAATTACCAGAGGGTAGTTCACCCTGTGTGCTGCGATCGAATCCCCTGTTAAAAACCCATGTGTTTTTGTTGCTCAACAGCCATCATCCCACCTCCGAAATCTCGCGCACGATGTCCGCACCGCTCTCGCCCAGGCCCACCACCACGCATTTCTGACATGGAAAAAACATCCAAAAAAACAGCCATTTCTGATGATGCTTGTAAATTCCCATGGGAAATTCCCATGGAAATTCCATGGGAGTTCATGCCGCTATGTCCAATATCAATGTAGTCCAGACGTTGACCGCTGCACATTTCCGCAAGTTCTTTCCGAGATTGCTGCATTATGATTGCATTATGATCAATGATGTGTGTACATCGTGTCTAAATGTATCAACCACCTGCCTTCCAAATCGTGGGTCAACATTTCAGGACTTTTGGAGCGCTTCGACTTGAAGTCAGGGATGACAACATCTGCGCCCCATAGATTGACTGGCCATTTTCAAGATCAGCTTGACCAACTCTTGTTGAAATTATATCCGATAAGTTGATGTATAATATGTATAATACGTATAATATGTATAATATGTATAATATGTATAATATGTATAATATGTATAATATGTATAATATGTATAATATGTATAATATGTATAATATGTATAATATGTATAATATGTATAATATGTATAATATGTATAATATGTATAATATGTATAATGTGTATAATATGTATAATATGTATAATATGTATAATATGTATAATATGTATAATATGTATAATATGTATAATATGTATAATATGTATAATATGCATGTAATATAGCTATGGATCAAAAAACGGCCATGGATCGTTGTCCGGTGATCCGGACGTATGGAACGAAGCAATGGATCGGGGCTATGGAGCGCCTGTGCGTCCGGGGGATCCATGATCGGGCCCTTACATCTTGAGCTGCAGCCATATTTTTTTCCGGGAGGCCCGAGGCTGGAGCACCTGAAAGGTGACGTTATATATATATATATACATATATATATATAGTTAGTTGTATGTGTATATATATATAATTATATACATTGCTAATCACATTCAAAAAAGACTGGAGAAAAAAACAGTTCTAGCTATAGTTAATACAGTAGCGGATTGTTTTCTGCTAGTTGTTGTCGTTGTACACTACAAGTAGCTCTGATACTTCTCCAACATCATCCGACTGTGTCCAGATTCCCCATAGATTCCCCCCTTTGGTGGATTTCCCTCTAGGAAAATCTAAAGTTGTGCCCTGAAACCTATCGGTGAACTCCGAGCGGTTGGCAGTCCTTGTTCCTGAAGGGCTCATTGTTCTTGTAGTAGTTACCTCTGCTGGCAGCATCTAGAATCTAGAAAAGTTCCTTCAATTATCAGGCAAATGAGGTGAATGTGGATGTCAAGCCCATCCCCAAAACACCGAAATCCATCCGAAAATACATGTGCCAACCAGGGTAAACCAGTGCGATTAGTTCATTGACCCTCAGCAAATCTGCAAAAATCCACAGGTATCGAAGAATCCATCAAATCTTGTTCCACGCCACTACCCTTCTTGGTATCTGTAGTCTTCTTCAACTATTTCCAACAAACAATCGTTCAGGTCAAGTCTTTAAAATGTCCAATCTTTAGATTATGGAAACCAATGTTTGAAGATATTTCAAGTCGTTCAAAAGTCTCCCAATCTTTGGGGAAAAAAGCATGGCACGTTGCCAAAGTTTCCCTGCAGAATCGAGCGGCTGTGAATCACCTGAAGCAGGTCACCTCCATAGTCCAGTGAGTCCGCTGATTGGTTTACCATCTGGTTATGACTAACAGTTCGCCATGGCATAGATGGCCCTAATCGAAATAGATGGTTTACCGTTCTTAAAAATGGTGATTTTCCATGGCTATGTTAGTCATAACCAGAGGGTATCCAGTGATTGGTTGATCCAGAAAATTGTGGAAAATCATGGAGAATTCTGGATGATTTTGCCTGCTTTTTTTGGACCATTCCAGTTTAGCATCATCCGAAAATCTTAAACGGTTGATCAGCAGTTTTGGCCGGGAAAAAACCATCATACCTCATTGTTGCACCACCTCCAAAACTGCGCTGTGTGTACATGCACACATACAAAAAACAAAAAATCAGATTCCTCAGCCAGGCGCATGGATTCCCACGCCTCGCCCTGAAAGTCTTCAAGTCCAGGAAGATTGGGCTTGTGGATAGCTTGGTGAGCACCAGAGCAAATGGCCTGGCAAAAGCTCGTCCAAAGATAGGAGCGAAGAAAGGACCAATGATTCTTTTAAGGCTGCGTTAGGTAAATGGTATACCCTTTCGGGCAAAAGATTGTGAAGTATATACAAGATATATATATATATCATATATATTATATATATATTATATATATCATATATATATATATACACATTCTTTTTCGGTAAATGTTATACCATTTCTGGGTAACCCTTGGATACCATTTTTGCATTAGACTGCCCGTCACCAAGGGTATCCAAGGGCTATCCATCTCTGCCAACCGCAGTGAAAGTCGGACCCTTGGGCATTGGCCATAGCCACCTTGGATGGCTAGTTTCATACTGATTTTGAAAAATATCTACTACCTGTACGCAGTTAAACGATACTTGTTTTCGGAGTATCTCATGGTTAATCATCACATATGTTCATATATCATATTTTCTGTTCATATATGTTCAATCAAAAACGAATTTTATGGTGAATATCCCCCCACTTTTCCAGATGTTGAGACCCAAAGTCCGAACGCTCCGAAACTTCACATGGCCGGGTCGCCACAGCGTCGTAGATGCCCTTGTCCACTTGATGCCCCGCGGCATCCTGCACCAGCACTTGCCAACGACCTGCAAGGTGATGCCAGCTTGTGCCTCAAATGATAGGTAACTTGGTCTATAACTATGTAGGCTAACTGTTGGATTAAAAATAGGGGGTATATATATATAATTTATATAATTATATAATTATATGATTATATATGTATGAATATGTATGATACATCTATGGTTCACTGGGTCTATAAACTTGCAAATTGATGCAGAACAGATCATTATACCTACCATTACTTTCAATTTTGAAATACGCTTTCGACTTTTCATCTTTTTTGAGGGTGAAAAAGTCGCATTCTATCAGTCAAAGGGAAAGGTTGCAGGGAACATCGGGAAAATCAATGGTTGTTCACCATTTTGTTCTGCCAATTCTCACTTCAACCAAGTCTGGAATCATTAACCCTTTTTTCGACTTCCTATCACGACAATTATTGTCTGAGAAGCAGAAGCCAAAACTCGGATGATCCGACACTCAAATATCAAGTTGACCGAGGTCTCTTGGTGCGGTCTTGCTGTTCATCCACGGCCATATCCTTTTGAAAAACCGGCTATTAGAATCTATTAGATCACAGATTTACCTACTATTTTGAATCTATTATCCTGCTAATTACAGTACATAGATAGGTCTCGTCCAATCTACGTGAACCATGGAACCACTCTGTTCGCCAGGCCCTCAACTTGAGCCCTTTCTGCCGGACATCAGCAAAACAATGATCTTTGAGATGTGAGTCATCTATAAATCAATGGACAATATGATCAATGGACACTATAAACCAGCAAAAAAATATCGAACATGTGTTAGAACCATAATCAATGGATGGTATGTTTGGATATGGGTATGAGTCAAAACCTTGGTACCCTAGTGAACCCCAAATAACTGGTAAATGGATGTTCATCCTCCCAAATATAGCAAGATTGGTTTTGATACATTCCCATACCATGTCGCTACATTTGGCTCAGATTTCCCTTGGAAACACAACAAGCCATTGACATCCGACCTGGTCCTCCTTCGACGGAGACCACCTGTCGCAATTTCACGATGGAAACAATCCTCCAGGAGGCTTTAAGAATGAAACCCCTGAAGTTTAAGTAAAACAGAAAGTGCCATGCGTTTCTTATGGAGTTTATATGAGTTTATTGGGGATATGATGGATATGTTTTGTTTTACAAGTACAGTACGGTAGACCATTAGTATGAAGTGCCGTGTTTAACTGTTGAGGAGCATTGGACCTTACCCCATTTTTGGCACCACCGTTCTCAACAATCCCTGAGGCCAAGGCAGTAGTGTTGAAGGAGATGTACCTCTCGTGCATGGCAATAAAATTATGATGACATATGAGATTTAATGAACCAGTGGATTTTGGGGTACACTTTTGCAAACCCATTTGGGAACCTCTGACTCTCAAACTCAACCGGCGAAGTGACTCAGTGGTTCCCCTTTAGCACGTTTTACCCGCAGGTCTTGGAGCTTACAACAAAGCTCCGTCCCAGGTGGTCGACCAAGAAACCCTGTGCCCTGCCTTTCCAACTTGAACCTCTGGCTGTACTCCTCCAAATACCTTTGGCTCATCACCAGTTTAGGATGGCTATGACATATGATGACTATCACCTATCCTGAAGTAGATAGAAGATTACCCTAGATATTCCAAGGTCAGCTAAAAACATCGTGTCCCTGCTGGCGTTGGTCAAATCATGTCCGTGATCAAGAGAAATGGATGCAAACTTGAATCCTTTCCCTCCAAGACTCTTCCAGAATTTGGATGAGTAATCCCATCCCCCCAATATTCTACACCCCCAGAACGCCTTTTGTCCCATTTAATTTATGTGTACATCCCCTATAAAGTCAACCATAGTTTTTTGGTGGTGTTTTATCGTGTTGAATTTTAGGGGGGAAGGGATGATCAAAAAAAAACACGATCCAAACTCATCACTGCACCTGCGGTACTCTGAGTGATGCCAGTGATACCGGTGCCTCAGATGCCACGGCTGACGTCCTACTTGGAGAGCATTCCACTCTTGGATTGTCGTCAAATGAAAACTTATGAATATATCATTACTAAATATATGATTAAATATGATTAAATAAAGTTTACAATGTATTGTATATATACATATGATTAAATAAAGATATACACATACAGATCGAGACCATATAGATGTATTATCTTTACAGTATGAGTTGTGGGCAATGATGTTTTCGAACACAATCCCCTTCGCCACAACGGGACCCAGGGATCTTTGGGACCCAAGGGACCCTGTGGGAGGCATATCCGAGAAGGCCATCAAATAGTTGCTGATGGTCAGCACACAGTTGTCATACCTCGCGAAGATGGCCCAAACATGGCAATTGAGCTCTAAAAATGGCTTCTCTCGGGGAAAACCATGAATCAATTGTGGATTTCCCTTGCCATATCTGATTACCAGAGGGTAGTTCTCTTTGGTTTGGCCTTGGATTATTGGATTATACAATCAGGTTCCATCTTTGTCGCCACCAACTCATCTACTTTCCTTGTCTCCTTGCTGGAGATGTCATCCTTTTCTGCTGTAACGTCTGTACAGAATCACGATGCTCACCGATGCCGATTTGTGGAATGACACCTTCTTGTGAAAGGTTAATTGAGCCCACTAAAGATTCCCCATTGACTATAGATAATATTAGATAATTAGTTAAATATTATAGATAATTACTATAGATAATAGATAATTATAGATAATAACATAATATTTATACTATTACTATATATTGAACAACCAACCAGGGCATTCATGGCATTTCATGCGCCCAAGGACACAAGCGACCCCAAAAGCGCAGGCGCACACGCCGGTCTTGTTGGGGCCATAGTTGAAGAGACCTGCTTGGTCAGTCAGATGTAGCAGGACCGATAAAAACGTGCCATCAAAATCCGGCGATTTCCAGCTGCGAAATAACAAATAATCATCGCTCGCCCTTACAATTCATCAAACAAACAGAGATGAATTGGTTCCTGTTGGTCTTGAACTTTAACTTCAAAGCTATGGACATGCTCTGGAAAATGGCCGGGCCATTCACTTTGATCTTGGCGTATCTTGGTGATTTCCGTGGTGATTTTAGGCTACCATAGGCTACCAGGGTGTCTCCAACCCCGCCTCCGATGCTGCAGTCCTTCTCAAAGCAGTCGATGTCGGTGACGCCGACATCCTGGCCACGATGGATTGGAATCGAGACAGTGGAGACTATCAGCCTGGCACTGACAAGAGTCCCATCATCATTTCCATAAAAAAATCCATTCATTTCCATTAATTTCCAGTCATTTCCATAAAAATTTCCATTAATTTCCAGTCATTTCCATAAAAAAAATCCATTCATTTCCAACATTGAAAAATCCCCAGATCTTTGGGGTCAATCCGCCGATTGAAGACCTGCAGCTGCTTGAGGGTTGTGAGGCCGGCTGGACCCGCTCCGATGATGCACCTCAGGAAATGACGACGGGTGGTTTGATCCGCGTGGTAAGGACTACTAACATAGCACAGCTATGGAAAAGTGCCAATTTATAGTAGATTTACCTATCCAAAATCATGATTTGCTTTAATTAGCTATATTTAGTTAGTCAGAGGGTACCCAGGTTTTGTAAGGTTTATGCAACTTCCAATGTCCAGGCATTTGCCACCAACTGCCAAAACAAGAAAGATACCTGTTACCTCTACCTGTGAACCTCATGTCGACATCTCCCAAAAGTCAGGACACACGCGCGGAGCCATGGCCGGCCACCAACGGAAGTTTTTTTAAAAATTCTTTGGCCCAAGGGAAGTTTTGGGGATGTTTGATGTGTTTCTGTGTACGCGCGCTTGAGTGACTGAGTCTCTGATGTTGTCTGAGAGATCTTCCGCAGTTTCCAAACATCTGATCAAGTGTCAAAGGTTAGACTATAGTTCTGGTCCAATATTAAATGATATTAAATACACAATTTGAGAAGTGCCTTTTCTCCGAAGACTAAAAACCAACATGCGTTCCATGCCGCTTCAAACCTGTTGTTGCGGTGCATGAGCTGATCAGCTCTTCGGATCGGAGGATGAAGCCCCTGTGGAGCTCTCCAGAAATGGGGATTCTATACTCACTCCATCTTATCTGGTTGGTGGTTGACCTACCCCAATGGTGGTTAATGGTGGTTAATGGTGGTTAATGGTGGTTAATGGTGGTTAATGGTGATTAATGGATATATATCTGGTTGGTGGTTGACCTACCCCTCTGAAAAATATGAGTAACAGTTGGGATTGTGAAATTCCCAATATAAAGAAAGATAGAAAATTCATGTTCCAAACCACCAACCAGTTATATATGTTTAGTACTAACCATCTATACAATTATTGGGCTACCACATTTTCATCTATACTCAAAAATCGATTTCTTCAGAGGAAAAAATCAGGCCTAGGTCTGGATTAATACAGTATCAGTCCTGGACCTGGAAAATGGATGCAAAATGGATTTCATCCCAGCCTTGACCCATCCCACAAATCGGTCGAGCATGGGACCATCCCCCATAGCTAGATGTGTGTAGAGTAGCGAATCACATCTTATGTGGTCAAAAGATTGAAGGTGCTGCCTGTGGCTGCCCCCTTTGTGTATCTTTGTGTTCAATGGGTCCACTGTGTTTTTGAGCTCTCTGGCAGTACTGGTTCTGCGATGCAGGCCATAAGAGGGGAACACAATGGTCTTTATCATGTTTTATCTGGAGTGCTGAACAGGGTTTTGTCCCAGTCCCCAAATGGTCGGGTGCGAAACAAATGGGGCCCTCCAAAGGATTTGTTTCATGCGGTTTCCGCCAAAGGTGTGGAATGGAGACATCTTTGGTCTGCGCCAGCTGGGCTTGTTGCCCGAAAACTGACATCTATGTACACAGGCTGGCAGCTTAGTTCGCCACACGAGCCCTGGCGTTACATGGATGAATGGGACCCCAGGTCACCCCATCATGGGGACTCCGTATGGGGAATATGAAACCCTTGAAAATGGACTGATGCCCATTCCCCAGCATGGAGATGTTCCATCATGTCCCGATGATATTCCGATTCTATCCTAATTCCCCATCCGTCAGGTGAGGGTTGTTACTGTAGATTTTCTGTCAGCTGGTCCTCCGCCTCCTCGCCCGCCTCCTCCGCCGGACCTCAACTGCAAGCGCAGGATAAGAGTGTTCCCCGCCGGACCTCAACTGCAAGATCACAGTGGTCCCCGCTGGGCCCGACCGGCCCGAGAATAGCAAGCCCAGGAGTCCCGGCCGGACCGGAACGGCAAGCACAGGATCAGAGTGTTCCCAGCCGGACCTCGACCACAAAGAAATCTACGAAGCAGCAGATAGAATGCCAGAATAGATGTCAGATAGAATGCCAGATAGAATGCCAGAATAGCTGCCAGAATAAATGCCAAATAGAATGCCAGAATAGATGCCAGATAGAATGCCAAGTAGAATGTCAGAAAGAATGGCAGATAGAATCTCAAAATAGATGTCAGATAGAATGTTAGGTAAAATGTCAGAATATATGTCCGAATATATGTCAGAATATATGCCTTGAAATGCCATGGTGGGGATCACTCGAAGTAAAGTATTTTTTCTACATCCTCTTATTTCATATTGTTGGTTATATACACAATTAATCCCCATACTAATTTATTTTGGTGCTTCTGACACTTCTTTTTTTGCTTCCAGGATTCCTTCTGTAATTATCTTTCTTGCCCACACCTGAGCTCGACCTCAGGACACTTTGAACCACCAAATCTTTGACTGTGTAGCAGTGTAGCTTGACCCTGGTATCTTGATGTATTTTGGGTATTTTTCTACCTCAACGTACCCCATAGACTCACCATCAAATCATGACAAATTTCAACAACAAAGATGTACCCTCTGGTAATTTAACATAGCTATGGAAAATGGCCATTTATAGTGAGTTTTCCCATTAAAAATGGTGATTTTCCATTGCTATGTTAGTTTACCAGAGGGTAACACTGTGCACGATCTGCAATCACCAACCCGTCAACCTGTGACTTGCCATTTCTCTCTATGGATTTCCTGTTGATCATCCCAATGGAATTATCGCAAATTTCGACGATTCAAAACCTGGGTTCTTTGGACATGTTGGGCTTGTTTCAAGAATGGGAAAGCCTAAACCCACGATGGAAAAAAACCTCATCTTCCCATGTGTTTCATGGCCATCAAATGGCCATCAAATCCATGCGGCCTCCGTTGTGCAGTTTTTCACCACTCCGCTGTTTGGCTTTGGAAGATGACTGGTTGGTGGTTGACCTACCCCTCTGAAAAATATGAAAGTCAGTTGGGATTGTGAAATTCCCAAGATATGGAAAAATAAAAAACGATCCAAACCACCAACCAGATGAGGTACCTTCCTAATTCCAAGAGATATCTATCATTCTTCCAATATGAACATCCAGTTTGGGGGGTTGATGATTGTGACCGATACCCACGTGCGTTTATCTGAACACTCCCCACAGAACCAGACGTTCGCCCATGCTCACATAATCTCCCGTTTTTGCCACGGTTTTAATAATTATCTCATTCAAATCCACAGGGGTTCCCTCCATTGGTCCATCATTTTTACCATTGGTTCCATGATGTCGAATTGTTCCGATGTATTATGTTACATCATTTTACATCATTACAGAATATATACAGTAAATCTACCACCCCCTCCAAACAATACGTATAAAGGTCTTATAATGTTTATATCATTAATATGTCATACTTTCAAACTTTCTTCCATCATATTACATCATTACAGAAGGATCTAAATTTGCCACCCCCTCCAAACAATACGCATAAAGGTGTTCTAATGATTATGGCGTATTCTATCTTATGGAAAATACATGAAAATACAAGTGGTGCAAGAGGGCCGCTTTCTGGGAGAAAACCTAGGATCCGGGAGAACCAAAAATTTACGCCAAGAACCCTTCCACGACTTCGTGGGGGTCTGTTGAAAACTCGGGTCGTTTTACCCGAAAAAACATAGGCTCCGGGCAAATGTCCGGATCTGTGCGGAACAGTCATTGGGTGGTTGGTCATCATCATGGCTCTGAACAAATACCCCCAGAGAGTGTTTAGGTTTTTTTTCGGGAAGACGCGATTCTCAACCATGACGTTTGGGTGATGTTGTTCCATCATGTTCCCTGTTTTTTCATGTTTTTTCCATCATTTTCCCCAAGGCCCCAAGGTTTTCCCATGGTTTCCTCAACGTTTTCAGCCCAACACCGAGCCCGGAAACGCGCCGTTTGAACCGTGGACGCACCGTTGACGGCACCTGAGGCGAGCCAACTTGGGCTCCTCGTTCAACAACAACTGGGCCAGCACACGGCGCCTTGGCCGAGTACGCTGCATATGAAGAGAAAACAAGTCTTCACATATCCATTCACATATGTGTACTGGATATATATATATATAGATATAGAGAGAGAGAGAATATATATATATATATGGGATATAATATAATATAATGATATTGATATGGTTGGGTATGATAGGTCTTGCTTAGCTGGATGTGCATTCCATGGAGTTCAGTGCTAATCTACAATTTTTGGACACCACAACACCACTTTGTTCACTTCGTTGGCTCGCTGGAAAATCTCCATTTATAGGAGATTTACCCTGGATTGACCAGCCATGTTTGACACCTCTGAGATCACCACCTGGGCTCGTCCTTTGCATCTTCAGCTTCCTGAAGCTGCTCGGTTGGTCTATTTTGTGCAACATATGTCATGTTGGCTATGCTGGTGGATGTTCATCACATTAAAATTGACAATAATAGGTTCTGATCCACAGCCAGAACCTAACATCATATACCCTCTGGTAATTTGACGTAGCTATTGAAAATGGCCATTCATAGTGGATTTTCCCCTTAAAAATGGTGATTTTCAATAGCTATGTTAGTTTACCAGAGGGTATCTTCAAAACTGCCAACTTCGCAACGTTTCACCGTCCCCAGCCCCTCCTGTAGGCGCAAGCGTAAAGTTTCCAGTGCCTTTTCCACTTTCGCCACCTGGCAGAGCCCTGAGGCCCGAGGGAGGAGATTGTGGGGATAGCTCCAAGATAACATGGGGCACAACAGGGAAAATGATACCTAAATGGATCTGAAATTGCCATTTCAACGAGGAAAATGAATGAAATTGATCATCAACCATCAAGTATTGGATCTTTTTCCCCAAATGTTCAGACAAATCTATAAGAAGCAGGCAAATTGTACTGGGGGAGGTTGAAATTCCACACGCACCCCGTGAAGCAAAATCCAGCAGCCTGGATCCTGTCCTGAGTGGTACTTAGATGTGCACTCAATCACCGAGTCACAACCTCGCGGTTACAACCCTTCAAATATCTGATATCCCCAGCTGTTCTAATATTTACTGGATGATAACTGTTACCCAGTGAGTAGAGTACCCAATAATATCAATAATCACCGAGTCACAACCAGTGGATTCTAATTGCTACCACCCAACTTGACATTTTTCGCTTCTTGACCTGAGGGATCTATGGGTAACTAATCCCATTAAATCACCATAAATCCCATTAAAATTCTTAGTTATCCACTTCCCAACTCGCTTCTGCCTGAGGATCGTCCTTTGGATCCACATCAATTGGCATTGGCGCCGCGACCTCCGCGACCTGTGCCGTATAAACCAGTTGAACATGGCAGTTGCAAATAAAATTGGGATGATGATTGCCGTTTTACGGTAGTCTATATATTTGTGCAAAATGATTACATATCATGTTTTTCATCCATTTTATCCATCAAATACATGGGATACATAACATTACATAACCAAAACAAAAATTGGAGGTGTCTGACAATGACATTGATAGAGTATACCGTATTGAAACGGGAACATCGATTAAAATTGTGATAAACCATGAAATTTCAGGGTACCCGAGAAACTCAGAGAAATTCGGTGCAAAGTTCACTTTGGATGGTCATGGAGTCATGGTTGAGATCCAACCCGCATCAGCCACATCTCCACCTGCCACATGGGCATTGAAACACATGGCTTTGAAAAATGGCGATACTTCCGCTTTAGTGATATTTATGTTTATGGCAATTTTGGCACTTCTACTGAAAAAAATATGTTCAACCATCAAATATGGATGTTTTCCCAAAATTGTCAAATACCCCCACATCCACTCAGCCAGTCTGTTGGAGTCCAAACTAATGTTCAGAAATCGGCAAGCATATCTTCGGGAAGTCGGGGCCATAGGTAGAGGGCCTCACCTGAGTCCATACTCTGAAATCCAAAACAGTGTGGCTACTCCGCTTGCTGATTGTTGGTATTCTTGTTTGGCAATGGATATGATTTTGAATAATGCCATCCAAACAATTGGATCCCAACCATGATGATACCATGTTATTTTTGTTGTTTTTTGGCTATACCAAACCAGCTCTAACCAGCCAGATTGGGCACCCCCACCTTCCCAGGGTCGCTGTGATCTTGGGGATCTTGATCTTTGTCCCTGCAACTCTCAGCTGCTGGCTGGGTGAGTCAGCAGCGCTGAGTTATGCGGTTCACTGTTAACTAGGTGTTGGTTCCGGCTCAATGTTGATGTTGATGAAAATGAAGTTGAAGTTGAAGTTGAAGTTGATCATGGTGATGGTGATGATGGTGATGATGATGATGATGATGATGGTGGTGATGGTGATGGTGATGATGATGATGATGACGACGACGACAACAGTGGTGATGATTATGGTGATGGTGATGATGATGGTGATGGTGGTTGTGGTGGAGGTGATGATGATGATGACGACGGTGGTGATGATTATGGTGATGGTGATGATGATGGTGATAAAATCATATTAATAGTATACATAATATTTTAATTATATCATATGTTCCCAAATGTAATCCATGTAATAGTAATAATACTTAATATTAATAATAATTAATAATAATTGGTAATAATTAATAATAATCAAAAATAATTAACAATAATTAACAACAATTAACAATAATTAAGAATAATCAATAATGACGAATAATAATAAATATAATAGTAATCATATGTATTTAAAAGATATTTTACGCATCAGTGGTTTGACCTGGGATACCATCCATGGAGCCCGTTGTGCGTCACGTCCGTTTCGCGCCTCTGCTCGCCGTTGTGCGCCCCCGGGCCCTAGGTCGCCCAGGGAACAATCCGGAACTGGTTGGACCTCGTTCCTTTGGAGGTAATACATGCCAAGAATATGTGTGTGTGTATGTGTATATATATATATGTATATATTATATATTAATGTAATAATCATGATCATAATCATAATAATCATCATCATAATAATAATCATTGTAATCATCATAATCATCATCATCATCATAATAATATGGATGTATAATGTATAGTAATGTTTAGAGATGTCCTCACCACAGATCCAAAGAATTGATCTAAGAGAATCTAATGACGGATTTTGACCCCGTGCAAAGTCGGCCGAGGCTTGAAGCATCACTTGGGGGAGACCTGTACACTGACAATCTGCATTCCAGAAATCTGACGATCTGCACTCTGGCGGTGCGAAAGCCACGTTCCCAAAACCTGTTTCGGGTGAATTTCATGCAACATCCGAGGGAATCTCAGAAAGGGAAAGCTTCGAATGTCATCAGCCCTTTTCTTAGCACCCCGGCAGGATACCTTTGCGCCACAGCCTTCCGCCAATGCTGGAACTCAGACTGCACCTGGCGAAACTAAGCAAGCCAGGCTTGTGGATGTCCGCTGCCCTTGTAGCAAGAGAGGATCAGTGTCTAATGGCATCACTGCAACATACTGCAACTGCATCTGCTTTCCCAGTAAGGCTTTCTCCTCCAAATCAGTCTCCGCTCAACCGTTGGATCATGTTGGATCTTTCCAACCCTGTAACATGACGAGCACAGAAAAGTCAACAAACACTATGTGGGGTCGGTCCAACTGTCCAACTTCAGTACTGCATGGCTTTGCCGTTTCCCCACAGAAGACCAAAGATAATCAAAGATGAACCCATAATTTGCGGCCACTTGCTACTTACGTCTCCATCGTGGATCGTAAAAAACCTGATGTTTCATGTTTCCATATAAAAACCACTATCAATCATGATTAATCCACTTTGGTAAAATCCTCTTTAGATGGTAAAATGAGGATAAGTGACTTTGGATGGTAACATTTGGATGGCAAAATCCTGTATCCTTCATCAGCCCCCGCACCGTGGTCTCAAGCTTCTTTTCCGCATGCTCTAAGTGGCTGATCTCGCGCCTCACCATGGCTGATCTGCCACGGTTGATGTCATGCAAATGGCGTAAAGAAATGTAAACAATCTATCCTACTTATGGTGTCCCTCTTATGACTTTTGCCACTGATAATTATGATATATCTATCTATCTATCTATCTATCTATCTATCTATCTATCTATCTATCTATATATATATACACATCATATCTACAGTATATATTCTATGATAATATTCATAATCATATATCTATCATATCCACATCACTATGATGATGTCTATGAGTATGCCCCTCTTGTGTTGCCAGTTCTATGCCATTCTCGCAACTGGTGGCCACATTTTCCACTCTGGGTGCCCCGCTTCAGCTCTCTTAAGCGCCCAAAGTCCAACTCATACCTTGGCTGCCGTCGTATGGCCCGGACAATGGGAATGGGTGAAAGAAATGTAAATTGTTGAGAGGAAAAATGAGATTAATCATTTGGAACTGGGAAAAAAACAGTCTTCAAACAACCCCAAGTACTTCGCGAGACGTGGTCAAACTTCTTTCGGCGGCTGGATTCACAACCCCTCCCCCTCATTATGGTAGGGGAATTCTTGTTTCTGTATCACATTCCCCGCATCTCCGACCTCCATCGACCTCCTATCTTCGCTGTCCCAACAAAAACCGTGCCTCTGCCGTTTCTCGTCAAAGAGCTGAATCAGTCGAGGCTCCTGGAGTCAAAATGCTGCAATGAGCTTCCAGAGGCAACTATAGAATCCATAAATCATCCCTTCCAATTCGTGGACAGCTGCGGAGTCAGATGTTCATCACCTCGCTGGGTCGATAGCCCTTGGAATGGCTTGTGTTTCAGTGGCCATGGAATGGCACCCTTTCTAGATCTTATACATCGACATGTTAGCACACCAATAATGTCGCTAGTATATACCATAATTCTATATATTCAACCATATTCAACCATAATATCATATTTACATATACACACATTACTATATATATATATTAGTGTATATTGGTGACATTCTTCGAGAAAAAAAAAACTCCCAAATCTCCGAGTCGCCGCCTCTTTCGACAGCAGCTCTTGCAATGTCTCAGCCCGCTTCGCTGCGTCCGCATGGCCCACCGCAGCTTCATCCTTCGCCTGCGTTTCATGGGGGATCTATGGGCATCACTATGGATTTGCACGGGGTGTAAAGCATGAAAAATGGTAAAGCCACTATGTAATAGTGGGGTTTTAATGTTAGTAAAGCAATTAAAAAAACTTTACCACCCAGATGGATTGATATGGATTGATGGAACAAATACCACCCATAACAATGGTAAATTTGGGGATGGTGGATCCTATTGCTTCACTAAGATTATAGCGGGTTTACCATGAAAAATTGTGATTCAATGGGATATGAATGGGGATATGTCATGGTTTATAACTGGCTATAATTAATCCCTTCCTTCGTTCATGTATTAAACACCCCGCAGAAATCATGGTTTAATACGGCATTTACAGATATTCGGGACCATACAGCCTGGGTGTGTTGAATTATCGGGAGAATGGTGATAAACCATTGGGGTTTGGGCGGAGTATCCCATTTGCAGACAACCCCACTTATATAATTTTTGGGGGTGGACAGGACAACTCAAGCAAACGACCATTTTTGTTGATGTGAACATGGAAAAAACAACACAGATTTTCTTGACATGGAAGAAATGGAGTGGATCGTTAAAGACAGAAGAAACACTTAACCAACACGTTGAGGTCGTCTTGGAAGCGTCGGCAGCCTCTATCATATCTTCGCGTTTCAAACGGGAATCAATACATGACAAACAAAGGGTGCTCAGGCGGAACATCCGAAAAGGTTCCCTCAACAGATCCTGTTCAAAATACCCTCTGGTAAACTGTCACATAACTATGGGAAATCACCATTTTTCATGGGTAAATCAACTATGAATGGCCATGTTCAATAGCAAACTGGAACAAATTACCAGAGGGTACACCAAATTGGAGTCAGAATCCTCTGTTTTCTCCTTCAGATCTTCGCCAGCAGCTCGCACCTCCCTGAGCTTCTCATTCAAAGTCGCCAAGGCATCTTGAACCTCGTCAATTTATCCACCCTACCATGGAAGCCTAAAATCGCCAGATCTATGCCAGGGTCCAGAGTTCATGTAGATCCCTTAAGGGGTAGATCCATATCCCAATTATATGTCATTATATCAACTCATGTCAAACTCTGGGGTTGCAAAGTCCCCAAAGTATCCAAACTCTACCCTCAAACCAAACCGAGATTGGTTTGCAAATCTGAAAAAAAAAACATTAAAAAACAAAAAAACATATCCGAATTTCTTAAAATTTACTAAACACTTTAAGTTAGATCTATCTAAATATATGAATATTATTTAATATCTAGTATTAATCTGTATATTAATCAACCTGCATAAGCTCCCCAGGTCGCCTTCTGCTTGGCCTCATTGGTCTGTTGGATCTCCTCGCCTAAGGCCTGTCGAGCAAAAAGTGACGGAATGAAGTGCACTATTTTAGGTGAATTACTTGTGTTCACCTCAAGTTTTAGTGAATAACTGAAGAACTTGTCATTTTTAGTGAGTAACTGAATAAACTAATTATTGGCAATGATGCCTGAAAGTAATCATGAATCACCAAAAGGAATAGTGAAATCGGATCGTCCAAGCCTCTATTTGGCAGGGTATCTGTTAATTAGGGGGATGGTACTAAGAATATGTTTAGCTATATGTTGAATGATAGTCCAAGATAGTCCAAGTACTTTTCGTCATTCCTATAATCCATCCAATATTAGGTAGAAATAACTAACCTTTAGGCATAAACTTGGGATGCGTGTCTTTGAGTATCTAATGGTGTGTAAGCTTGAAAGTATCATAAAGCTACGAAGCTAATGGGGAATAAAGATACAACATTCAATATCTATTTAATATACACGTATGTGCACATATAAATACTAGTACATAAATGCATATCATCCGAAACCCTAATATCACAAACTGGGTATACCATCAAAAATGCGGAGGATATCCAACAAGCACGGGGTAGAAATGGATATAATCCCAACCCCCAAATGATTAATGCAAATGTCTCGCAGTAAGGACTCCCAAAAGAATAGATCCAATACTAACCTGAATTTCCAATGGTGGTGTTTTTTTGTTGCGGGGAAGAGATGAGTTCCATCCATTTTCTGTTGGAGCACCTGACATAATCCGACCCAGAATGTCAAATCGGATGTCCCCAAGCAGATTTTATGAATCTGGGCTTGACATGGGTTGACATTGGCCGGTGATACATAAGGTACATCGGTACATTGGCAACGTAGCTCAAGATGTCGGGTCGAATTATCTCTCCCAAAACGCGTATCTCTCCCAAAAAATGTTGCTGTTGTTTTCCTCCAAAAGGTCGTGGACAGTTTGTCCGAAATGAAATATGTTTGGCTTTATTAATTGTTTAACTGTTAAACGATGTTAAACATATGGAACATCACCACGTTCAATCGATAAATCGAATCTACAAATGGGCTGTGGATTCCATAGCCATCAAGCCTTCCAATCTTCAAGTTTCAATACATCCCCAAGATCAATCCAACATCGAACCTGAAAAATGGACAAAAATGGTGGGGTCCAAAGATGAACTTCTGCGACAGGATCTGGAAAATTCTTCCATATCATACTCGTCAGTGATTGAAGTCCCTCTTGATGATTAAATCCCAGTTGCTAAATCCCTACATTTGTTAGTAAAATGTTTATCAAGTACACCCACTATGAACAACTATGAACCACTATTGATCCCTGTTGAACCCACTATTCACCTAATCGAATTCGATCCGCAGCTCCCCTGCTGACCTTGGCCTCTTCCATTCGCGCTCGTCGCTCCTGGCCCGCTCTGCGATGGTAACGAAGAATGTTTGGGTAGTCATCATATGAATACCATATTTGTAGAGATGTGTTTACTACATCTTAGATTGGTACCATTATGCCAGGCATGCCATTAATTATTAATTATGTCCATTCACCAAAGATTTTGACCAAAGGCTACCAATTGCCATATGTAATTCTGGTGAATCATCGAGGGATAAGCCATGACAATCCCTTTGGCCCAATATTGGATAGCAGCAATTTTGAAGGCCCCAACTCATGAAGATCCGATACTAAACCATGTTTTTTAGGCTTGTAATGGATTTTTGGGGGAAGGGATTCACATTGGGGGCAGACTTCCGTTGGAACACACCCCGGTGTGCGCCACATGCCAAATCATCCAAAAGCACCATTGTTTGGGGGGATCGGCTCGTTTGATGGTCACTAGGGTGCGTTTGAGGCTTGAGGCTATCATGGTAAAGCTTTGACAATTCTTCCACTTCCAGTACGGATAAGGATACTGAAAGTGCTCAGCTATTAAATGGACAGATCTGAGCGACTAGGTACAGAATTGGACTCGAAATTAAGCTATGTGCATTGCTACACATCAATGGAAATACAGCTATGATAGGTACCATCCACTTCTTTGGGTCCATATCTTTGAGCAAGCGCGTGAAAATTTCAGCTTGGTCGGATGATCTTCGGAGGATCCAGGATCAAATTCGAGGCTGAACATCCAATAAACAGGGACCAAAACATACCCCGAGGGGCCCTGAGTCTAAAAATATCTCAAAATGGGCTTAAATGGGCTTAAATGGGCTTAAATGAGCTTCTATAAATGTCTGGAAATGTCTTGAATCTTCTCCTCTTATCCTTGCCAGTCCAGATGATCAGTTTTCATAGTTTTCCCTGTTTTGGCCAAATGTCATACCAATGTCACACCCAGCAGCTCTCTGTTTGCCACAAACATGGCGTTTTCGTGTCGCGTTTCCTGGCCCTGTGGCGCCCAGAAGTCCGACCGGACCAGGGGCCCTTAAAGGGTGACCCCTGGCGATGCCCACAGATGAGCACCTAAAGATCTCTGGAAATCAGTTTAGCACATCCCGAAATGAAATGGGTCCCAACTAACTAGGATTAACTAGGTCCCAAGCTAGAGTGTTTCAAGACACCATATCGCCGATTCACCCATTTATGGTGAATCGACTTTCACGGTCGGGCACCGAAGGATACAGCAACAGCCATGGATCCTTGCCAGGCAGAAATAGGGCCCAATGGACCCACCAAGTTGGTTGGTCCATGCACTTTTCCGGGGTCATTGTTCTTGATCCGAATGATCTCGCAAAAGGATGTCAAAGACAAAGATTCGTATTGCCACTGTTGATTTCAAAGCAGCAATCGATCTGATATCAAATGCTATAGCTGTATACTATAGCTGTGTAACATTGTATAACGGCATCTTGCAACAAATGTCGGATGTCCAACGAAGAGCACTTGGGGCTGGGTCGAAGTTTGAGAAAATGAAGCTACAGATCAGGGTTGTCATTTCTAGTCATTTGGAGGTTTCCTAAAATGAGGGTACCCCTAAATCATCATAAATCATCCATTTCAAATCATTTCAATAGGATTTTCCATTCACCAACCAGCGTTTTTGGGGATCCCCATTTAAGTGGAAACCCCAAAAAAAAACGGTCGAAACCATCTTTTGGGGCCTCGGTCAAGACCCCAAGGGTTTTTCCCCTGTTAAGAAACCCGAAAAGCTGCTGAAATGGATGTTGATTTCTACACAAAGACTGGCTTGGCTGAGAGATCCCAACATCGATCTCATCATAACTTGGCTGCTGTTTCCTCCGCAATGTGAGACTTGGACGCTGGCAGCCGTCTTGACTGCCCAAAAATTGATCGAACTTGGCGGCCATTCGTGATGTGGACCGCATTGGACCGCTGCAGCTGAACACTTGGAGACTTGGGTCAAATCCTTATGAACAAAGTTTCATGGGGCGTTCCATAAATGGGGGATCCCCATTTTTCTGGACGGCTTACAATGGGAAATCCAAAAAAACTACATTTATATACAGTAAATTTTTAAATGGATGATTTAGGGGTACCCCATACCCCCATTTAGGAAACCTTAGGTCATCCGATAAGTCAGAGCCCAGGGTTGCTGTCCCACAAAAAAACAATCCATTTCCCAGAATCCCTTGGAAATTGTCCAGGAAAAACAGAGATTTGGATGGCGCAACACATGCAAAACATTCGCAAACCCGTTGGTTGCCCTTGTCTAATAGTCCCTGAAATCGACTTGTGACAACCGGATGCATCTTCCCAGGCATGGGCGGCGGTCACATCTGCCGCAAACGGACATCAGGCTGACTCTCAAGATTCCAAAGAAGTACAAGCCTTCGCATCATTGTACCAAGGTATAGCAAGGTCTGTAATTACCATGATCATTGGATATCATTGGTCATGCTGGGCGAGGGGTCATGCTGGGGGGTCCCGGGTTCCCATTAAGAAAATCCAGGAGTAGGACACCGTAGGACTAGTAGGATTCACAGTAGGATATATCCAGCACCAACGCTGAGGAGCCTCCTGAGCTACCGAGAGAAGCCGAGTGTCAATTCGTGCAGATCTCAAGCCAAGTGAGGAGAGGGGGACCTTCCACACAATGGAAAACTTCCAGTATGTCAGTATGCAATGGATTCGCAAAAACCTGACTCATCTGAGAGATCGTAGCTGTCATGAGCTGTCCATTTGGCTCAAAATGGGTTATGGTCAAGCTCTTGGATGATGGGTCCCGGCTCCCGCCGCACGCGCTGGGCGCTCATTTGTTGGGGGAGCGAGAGGGGGCGTCTTCGCTCGACAGCCTGGCAGTTGTGACTGGGTCAACCCCTCGAAAGTGTTATCAAAGTCACTTGGGATGTATTGGGAACATCAATCCCAAATATATATATATATATTTATATCTGTATATCCCGTGGAATGTGATAATACCAAAACAAATGTTGGACAGTATGTCCCCTTAAATAATCGCCAACAGGCATGTCGAACGCGGCCACTGCCCAGCATCCAAAGCACTTGCAACATGCAGATTGGAATGTGCATCTCACGTATTATATCAATGGTCCTTGCTGAAACCCAGTTGCATGTGTTGAATATATCCAGCTATACAGGCTATCTATTGGTTATTAACCCACTAAGAAGTGGGTCCCACACATATAATTTGTTGGAATATCCATGAAAATCCGGTGTATAGTTGTTGAATGGGAATTCCCTATTCATGGATGACACTCCGCAACCAAAAGTGGTTGTTCACCATTCCACCTATCATCAACCAACGATCATTAAATTTATATGATATTAATTCCTCACGTCTCTGATGCATAAAAACCCAGACAGAAAGATGCTTAAATCCATTCCCCCTATACAACATTAAACCTCCCCCAGAAACCATGGTAAAAAGTCGGGGATTTGCACATATTTGCAACGATGGCAAACCAACATTGAAAACTGGAAATCACCCATGTATCATAATTTATAGATGTTTTTCCCATTCAAACCTCCACTTACAGAGGATGTTCATATTACTTCCAGGTTGCGTCACGCCTCATCTTGTGCCCAGCTGTCCAGCCCATGACGTAGTAGCGAAAATAGGCCTGGCGACCGAAAAAAAAAACATGGAATGAGTTATCAAAACGAAACATGATTATATAATTTACTGTATATTTATATACGATTATTAGTACATATGAGTTGTTAATGCGGGTAAAACAATAATAAACCACTCATTTAGGAATGGTTTCAGTCCAACCTATTTATGGTGATTTGGGGGTGGTTTATTATTGTGTTACCCACATTATATATGATTGTTAGTACATATGAGTTGTTCAATCATATGTTGACTATAATAGTAAAATATGTGAGAAATACATGCCTAATTAGTGAGTGTACTAAGTAGTACCTATTCCCATGTTTATTAAAAAGCATCACTAGTATGTACTCATGATTAAATGATGTAAGAAAAATACTGCATTTGCAGTATGGGATATGTCTTACTTGGTATATACACGTATACAGTGTGTATATATATATATATATATACATATGCCGCAATATATTGGTTGGTGTTTTACTCACTTAATCATAATAATATAGACAATGTGTGTATATATATATATATGGCCATAATGCCATAGTGCCATAAAAAGATATAAAGGGGGCTTAAGCATATATATATATATATACAACTTGAGAAATCTTGAGAGGATATTCTTGGATATAATTGAAAGTATCATTTCGTGTGGTAAGCATTGGTAAATCCTTCAAAATGCATCAAAATGCGGCATGTATTCTGCAAAAAGATGGGTAAAACCACATGTCAAACACCAACATCCCATCGCCCAACCATACGAACACCCCCACCGCATTGTACCCCAAAATGAACAAATCCAATCGCATGCCAGAGTTTCTTGGGACCTGTATTCACATGGAGAATTGATGAAACCTGACGTCCTAATCAGGTATCATGCACAGTTTTCAACCTTAGGTTTGCCACATGATGTCACGATGTCTCAAACCTGCCCATGAACTAGAGTGCTTTCACTCACAAAATCATCATCATCCATTCATCATCTATTTTTTTAATTTCCTGGATATTCCATATGTGAATGGGGTAAAAGACCGTAAAAGACAGTCATGACCCACCTACTCAGTGGATATGAGGCTTTGGATAGCGCAACGGCAAAAGTGTCGTATCGCCTCATGTTTCCACAGCCTTGCTTTTGCCGTCTTCGCCTGGCAGAGAGGCGCCAGCTGTCCTTGTCTTCTCCCCGACTGTTTTGGTGATTTTTATGTGGCTTATGCACCTGGAGTATGGCTTAGATCTGTGTACCAACAAAACAAAAAAAAGGAGCTGATACTGGGTTTCCTTCAAGTCATTGTCCGCAAATACGCACGCCAATGAAGATAATATATGATAATATATCACTATATGTGCAATACATATATGGGTACGGGTCAAAATTGGGTACCCCAATAATTAGATGGTTAATACTAAACATATACTAAAATCTGTGGTCTCATAGAGTTTAATCTTTGACCCATGCCCATACCCATATGTTCTGATAGTATGCTGTCCCATTGTTACACATCAGATCCCTATGTTTCATGCTCAATCCCCAAAAATGGTTAGATTCCTATCTTATTCCATGGTTCTTTCCACAGAAAACCAAGCTATGCTTCGATCGATCCGCCTTCTGCAGAAAGCTTCTGAGCTGTGCGAGTTGATCCTCCGGTAGACCTCAGAGGTTTAGAGTAACCCCAAAAAAAGACAAAAAAAAACAAACAAAAAAATGTCTCACTATTTTGATCTATTTTGGATGAGATTCTACTTTTTTATGTTTTTGGTGGTCACTTTTTTAGGACCTTTAAGGATCCTGAAGGACCTTGAAGGTTTCGCAAAATGCTCATTGTCAACTGAATCAGTAAAGTTCTGTTCAAATTTGGTCAATCAAATAAAGTCATTCAAATGATAGCTGGTTGGTGGTTTTAACCATCTTGAAAAATATTCGTCAATGGGAAGGATTATCCCATATATTATGGAAAAATAAAAAATGTTCCAAACCACCAACCAGAATAAAGTCATTCAAATGATAGTTAAATGTTTATAAGGCCTAAGACCTGATCATGCTTGTGGATTGAGGCTGGGCCCATTTCCTCTCCCCGCGTTCTGAACACCGGGTGTCGCCCCACAAAGCGGCGGCACATGTCACATAAATTATATATACATGTTTGATGATCAATCTTGTCAACGAACATCCATCTCCTTGGATCCACATTTTTTTGAACCATGCCCAATTCGCAGGTGATCAATGTTCTGGGTAAATTATAATAATTCACTAACCTGAAATAAGGCCATTTGGGGATGATTTCCCTTACTAACCATGATTTCCAGTGAGGTCGCAGTGAGGTCGTTATAATTTACCCAGAATGTTTATCATCACCCTCCATTTGAGTTCGATGAATGTTCCCATTACGACGCTCCCAAATATGGCGGATCTTCCAGCTAGCCATATTTGATTACCAAAGGGCATACCATATATTATGGGTACCCCCAAATCATCCATCTTACCCTCTGGTAAACTAACAGAACTATGGAAAATCACCATTTTTTATGGGAAAATCCACTATAAATGGCCATTTTCAATAGCTATGTTAAATTACCAGAGGGTAGGATTTTCCATTTTTGTCCCACCCCTGTTGGGGATCCATTTATGGAAACCTCCAAAGAAAACCCCAAAGAGAATTGCCGGCCACGCGGCCCCGATCCAAGATCTGGGACGTCCGGACAGCTTTGAAGGGGCACACAACTTAAACTCTTGGGTTTTTCCTCCAAGGTCGTCAACAACGCAGCGGCATCCTGGGACCATGGTGACACCATGGCGCTGTGTCTGGGAATGTTCCTGGGATCCAGATGGCGATATGGGTGGTCAAAATCACCGCCACCAAACATGATGAAACTCGCTCCATTCGGCGTAGTTCATGTTCTTTCATGTGTTTATAATTGTTTATATCTCTGCTCGAGTTGACCGTAGCATCCCAGTCCCCACTGTTTTCGGGGCTCTGGGACTCTGGGTGCCCCCGACAATGACCGCCACGTCGCCGGTGATACAGCTGCACGACTTGCGGTAGCGACCACATACAGCTCCTCTGAAGGAAATCCCAGCGAAAATTCTCATGGTAAACCAAAAAGACGACGAAACGCTTCAACTTATCCCAGTTGTGGTGGGATTTCACGTTCCTATCTCTTTGGGGGTGCTATACCACCAGTTACTGAACCAAGTCTGGGATTAAAGGGATTTGTTGACTTTTTACACCTGCATTTAGGGGTAAACACCAATTGTTTTCATTTGTATTTAAGTAATTTCAAGATATTTCAAGTGTATAGTATAATATATATATATGCACCAGGCCCTGCCACCCCCCCCCCTCCCCCCCACCCCCATGGGATGGGTCCCATATACTGGCCCCATATGAGATCTTCCCCCTCCCCCCCTGTGGTGGCACTGTCCCCCTCCCCCCCCTGTGGTGTGGTGGGGGTGTGGTATGGTATGTTGGGTATGTATGGTGTGTATGGTCGGTCTGGTATGGCATGTTTGGAAAGTATGGTATGTTTGGTATGTATGGTAGGTATGGTATGTATGGCATGAGTGGTTGGTATTGTATGGATGGTAGGTATGGTATGTAAGTCTGTTGGGTATGGTATGTTTGATATGACAGTATGTATGGTCTGTATGGTATGTATGGTTACTATGATGGGTATGGAATATTTCCTATGTAAGGTAGGTGTGGTATGTATGGCATGTATGTTTGCTATTGTATGTATGGTAGGTGTACGTAGGTGTGGTAATTACATTTCATATGTATGGTATGTATGGTATGTATGAAAGATATGATAGGTATGGTATGCTCGGCATCATTGACATGTATGGTAGGTACGGTATATGTTAAACACAGGTAGTGTTGTCAGAGTACACAGGTAGTAAATAGGAAGTAGATACAGTAGATACATAGCACATGTATATATGACTATAGGTAGCACGTAGGTACTTTGAAGGAGTATGTGTGCTACGTAGGCCGCCTAAAAGGTAGCATGTATCTAGTAAATGCGAGGCTGGTAGTCAGAAATGCTGCAAAGACCTAGCAAATACGCAGCTGGACCTCAGAAATGCTGCCAATAGCTTGCAAATAGAAGGGAATTGGGGCTGCTACCTGGGGACCCAACCCATGGGCCCCATGGGGGGGGGTGGAGAGACGGAGGACGGGACCATATATATATATATGAATATGAATAGTTTTTCCGTTGAACCAATCTGTTGCTTTTCCGATAGATAGGTTCTTGGTGCATAGAAAGGTCATCAAACGTGCTTCCAAAAATGCAAATCACTGAATCTGAGCAGTTGGGAGCATCCCAATTTTGGTCTCAATCGACAAAAAGTGGATCAAAACACACATCGGTACCATCCAAACCTCCATTTCCAAACAATTTCCATGGATTTCCCATTGCCACGTTTGATTACTGCGAGGCTAGTTGAAGAATCCCAGTAACCCTCCGCTCTTCATCGAGGTCCATAAATCATTGGACACCCAGGATGGCTTTGACCCGCGGGACATGGATCTTGGGGGTTCCAGGACTTTGGCCTGGGGCCTGGCACTATTTTGCAGCTATGATCATTGGATTGATTTAAGGGAAAATCTACAGGAAGCCATGGTTTTTACCACCAAATATAGGGTTTTCCTGTAAATTTTCCCATCATCCAATTCTATGATATGAGGGCCCTGGTTGTCCTCCAACCCCCAATAACATCCCTTCACTATGACGTCCAAGTCGCTGAGCTCTTCTCGGATTTTCTTCACGTCAGCCTGGGTTGTCCAGAAACGGCAAGCCCGACATTGTGAAAAAACCTGATAAAACCACCAGGGCTACCAGAATTGTTGGACAAACCCAATCCTAATGGAATGATCAGCTAACATAGCCATTCATCCCAAATCCGGGCAGGCACTGAAAACATTATATATATATATATAGAATATGTATATAGAGGAATTGGATAAATGTACTTGAGATCAAACACGAGTGTTCAAGTTTTATCCAAAATAAATGGATGCTTCTCAAATTCAGGATACCCTCAAAAAACATCTAAAAAAAAATTGGTTTCCGTAATTTAAATGACCAATTTGGGTTGATTTTGGGGTGGGGTCCCCTTGAACAATAACAACACTGAAACTGCAATTTCAATAACCCGGAAAAAGTAAGCACCATGTTTCACCATATGATTACCCTCTGGTAATTTAACATAACTATGGAAAATCACCATTTTTAATGGGAAAATCCACTATTTCTATGGCCATTTTCGATAGTTATTTTGACATAACCAGAGGGTAACCACCATTTCCAAGTGATACATCCCGCAACACCGGCCTCAAAGTCATCCTCCGTTTGAGGGGCAATGCAGACCTCCGTGATCACGTCCTGCAGCCCCAGGTCTGATTAATGTGTAATCCCTTCCCCCATTCCCCCTACTACTCAGGGGATGGGGTGGGAGGTTTAGCATTAGGGGAAGGGATTAAACATGAATTTGTTTTTTGTTCACAATCTGGGTATGACCGGAAATGCGTTCAGGTTGAAAAACAAAAATGTACGGTTTTCTTGCAGATTTTCCTTGGCAATACTGAGATTCTAGATGATTTCAGTATGCTTCGCTAGAAAAAAATATCGTTCATACATGAGCCATTCTTAGTAAACTGTTCCTCCGAAAATGCTTCTATTTTTGGTGTTTGACAAAATTGAAGTGGGATTAACGAACCAAAGCACCGCAAGCGACTGTCCGGGTATTTGTTGAAGAAGCACTTCTTCGCTCGGATGTCGAGCGTGGCACTGTTCATTTCCGCCTGGTTGGGGGATGAACTGTGATGTTGACCAAACTGCCGTGCAACTGTGATGTGCCTGTGGTATATGATCCAATGCGAAGCTCCCCCCGATTCAATCCTATGCAATCCTATTCAATCCATTTCTATCCTACTTCTATATTCACCATCTATGAACTTCAAACTATCATAATCTAACATTGTATGTATAAATATATAATTATATGTTCATATTATTATTCACCCTACTAGTAACATTAACCCACGTAATATTTATAATATGTGTGTATATATATATATATACATATCCGCCGACCCCTGCCCAGGAATCTGCGTGGGAAATGCGGCTTATGGATATACCAGGCGCGATTCATTCCTGGCTCATGCAGGTCATAACGAATTCCATCCCTACTTGGTGTCAAGAGTCCAGATTCCATGTGGTACCTAGGGTGTGAACTAGGTTCCAAGTGTTGGCCCTTGAAAAGTCGAAATGAAGCTCACCAAGTCTAAAATAAATTGCAAAAATCCTCGGCCGCCGCGCGCTCCTGGCGCGACGGCCAAGTGCGCCCTAGGACTGGAAGGATGTCTACGCAGCGTCTTCACCATAGGTCACAATGCTAGCCATATTGCCATAGGCATGGATTGCAGAGGTGGAACGGCAAAGCCCCAATATGGCCACCGAGGAATCAGCCTGGATGAGTGGATTGCTGGCATGCCCATCGAACAATGTGATGTTGAAACCTTGGTCCAGGCATCAGACAGGAACCATTCCAAATTAATTCAGAACTCCCACCTCTACCCAAACTTCCCTTGAAGCCAAAACTGACTTGGCAACGAGGCAACGTGGTGCATCGGCACTCTCCTCCCCATCCACATCCACAACCTGGATGACTCGGCGAGGTTTGTCCTCGGCTCCACTGATGCTACCAATCTCCTTGATCAAAACGGCGCTCCCAAAGTACTCTTCGCCAACGGGCGCTTCCCCCAAAGAAAGCAAATCGGACGCTTCACAACGCACACCACAATCTTGTCCGCTCTTTTGCCCCTTCTCACTCCTCCAGAGTCATCTTTCCTGCTCAAGTCCTTTCCTGGCACTCTCCACTGCCACACATATGCCACTCCACTGTTCTTGTAACAGTCATGCCAACGGTCGCTCACCCTGCACTGCCACAAATCCACATTTCACACCTCCGGGCTTCTCTCTCTCTCTCTCTCCCTCTCTCTGTCTCTCTCTCTCTCCCTCCCTCTCACTCTCTGTTACTCAACCTCCTCCTCCATCTCTTTCTCTGTCTTCCGGTCTTTCTGCCTCTCACTCTCTCTCTCTCTCATTATCTCTCTTCCTCTCTGTCTCTCCCTCTCTCTCTCTCCCTCTCTCTCTCTCTCTCTCTCTCTCTCCCTCTCTCTACCTGCAACTTGTCGGGCCAAACCCTAAATGAACGCAGGCGATAAATCAACAAGGGGTCACAAGATGGATCCACATTGACCATAAGGGTGTTATCCGAGATTGCTGTCAATCCCCACAATCGTTTTCAATCCCCACACTCGTCCTCAATCCCATCACTCCTTCCATATCCCACATCATTCTCAATCCTACAATCGTTCTCACTCCCAACCATCGTTCTCTCTCCCCACCATCGTTCTCAATCCCCCAATCAGTTCCCATCCCAATATCGTCAGGTTGCACTCATTGTTTCCATCTTTGGCCACTGCGCAACTACATTGAAATTACGTCTCTGCTATTATCCCCGGTTGCCAAAAACACTGCCTTCCCAGCAGCCCAGCTGCTTGGAAGGGTTTCGACGAGTTGCTGGCATTACACATGGCTGTTAAGAAATGGATACACTTGGATACTTTCATAAAATCGGATGTTACAGCATGAATTTGGCTCCCGTGCAGGTTCCGATGCTGATCCCCCTTCACGCGCTTCCATTCGTCCCGCTTTGTCTTTACCCCTGGATTTTGTGCTTACGTCCGTTGTTTCTCTGCCCTGCTTGCCCTGTGCCCCGCGCCCCCCTCTCCACAGCCAAGCGGCTGCTTGCAGGTCAGCACTGCCTGCCGATGGCCCGCCAAGCCGCGGCACACTGCGCACCGCCGCACCACCATGGCAGCGCGGCTCTGCCCCCAACACCCGCAAAATGTTTGTATGGATATTCTATCCCTGTACGAGTTCACCGGGTCAGGTTGGCACATGTGATTTTCTAGTAGTAAATGTAGGTTGTATAAATTAGGGACCCAAGAAAATCTAGCAACAGACATCAAACCAATTTGAGGCATCCTAGAAAAATGACCACGTATCCGTATAAGAAATGCATTTTCGAAACTATGTTCAGCATTTTTCCTTAGAAAAACACCGCCGTACTTGAATCGCATAGTTTTGCAATTACGATATCAAGCATGTTGAAAACCACTTCAACCCAGTGTGCGGTTTCGAATTTTTCGATCGAGCTTTTCGAAAGTGCCCAGTTCATTGGACGTATCACCCCTTAATAGTCGCCCAGGACAGCCCACAAAAAAATCATTTCAATAAATGCAAGGTTGTAAAATTAGGGAGTTTGTTTGTCGGTGGCTGTTGATTGACTCTTCAAAAAATATACACAAAAGGATGCGAAATTTCATCGGTTTTGAAAAAGAAAAATGCTGTTCATGACATGTTGCTGGAAATCATGGCTACTTAAAGGAAAATCATGTCGAGTGGTTGGGGTTCTTCAAGCTATATGGACGGTTCGAATTGAAAACTGATATCTTGCTGTACCAGCATGGCAGGCCAAAAAAATGCAAAATGGCTGCCAACAGGCTCAAACCACGGGAATATGTAATTCTTGTCAAGATAGTCGTTTGCACAAAAAACTTGGCGACTTAGGCAAACACGAGAACTAAAAAGAAAAGGTGGAGGTTCCAGGATGGTTAGGTATCTGCCTTTATATAATTCAGCTGATTCCCCCCGACATTGATTTTCTAGGTCGAAAACGGGTGGTCGCAAACCGCCACCCCAAGATGCCTCTATATAGAATATTGAAGTGATTGGATCAAAATCAAAATGACATCTAGTAAATCAAATTGGAAAATTGTTTCATGTACGCTTCAAGAAAGGTGATTTTTCTAAGAAACCTAATGTACTGGGGGATATAAAACCACATGTATTTACCTGCCCCATGTGCTTCAATATTCTAGGCATCCAATAAGTTTATATCTCACACCAATCACTTTGATTCTCTGGAGGTCCAAACAACCCATTTAAAAAAAAAACAAATAAAAGAAACAAATTACTCTTTCTAATTTCAGCTGCGCTTAAAATCATTTACAGAGAACGCGGTGAGAATAAACATACCAGGGATTTGATTTTCAAAGGGCTCCCACATGTGGAAACCCCCAGGAGTTCCATTTTCTAAAGGTCCTCTGGGTGGAGAGCGCCTAACACGTGTAGAAAAAACCACCTAATATGTGTCGAAACAAATGCCTGTTTCGTGGCCTCCCCCGCCCACTGATTTAATAGGGGAAAATCCACGGGGGATGGTTGGATTGAGGTTGTGAGGCTATGGCAAAATCTAAGGTAGGGCTAGAATATGCCAAAATCGTCCGCTCCAGCTCGGGGAGCTTCAGCCCATTCAAATGCTCGAAAAGGGATTGTGGAAGATTGCCTCTCTAGAAAATCAAGGACCACTAGAAAATCTATGAACGTACTCCCAAAAATGCTAAATTATGCTTCAGGATTTTGGGCAAAACTCTCCAGAAAATCAGCATCTTACGACTCAGGGGTCTCCAAAAGTTGTTCCTTAGAAAATTGGGGAAACTTCGAAAGCATCATTTCAGCAAATTCGAGCTTTTCGAAGGACAGAAAATCAACCCCTCAGGGGGGGTTAACCCCCCTGAAATCCTAGAGGAAACTCATACCGGTATGATACGATATATACCTGCAGCCTCCAACAGGCGGAAATTTGGGGCTGAAACCAAATAGTAGCCATTTTGGGACTCGGGCTGTCTTTTAGCCTGAACATCAATTCAGGCGAGATTGTCCATTCAGGCTGGAAATGCCATCTTGAGCATAATTGCAGAAAGCATTTCCAGGCGAGAATTTAGAGGGGGCGAGAGGTCAGGCAGAAAAAAAGGTCCGAACACGTTCAGGCTCAAATTCTAGCCTGAGGGTGCTCTAGGTATATATGTGTATCTCCACCGACCCCTGCCTAGCCCCCGGCTTAATGGGGGGGTCGGCGGCACCAGGGCGTTAGCCCATTTATAATATCTCTAACTATATGTTCATTAACCCATATATTAAAATCATAATCAGCCCTAGTAAGATCCATTAAGGCAGCATGATCACCCAAGATTCACTGCCCAACCTGAAGCAGCAGGGATCGTTCTGGAATCTTCTGCAGTGCCATCTGCAGCCCCAGCTCTCGATCCTGGCTCCGAAGTTGAATCCAGAAATGGTGGGAAGCTGAAGATATTTCAAGTGTCTTAGATGTTGAATGGTCAGAAATGATGCCACTGATGATCTACGAATTTAAGATAGTTTTAAGTGTTTGGGTTTCAAAAAAACTAAAAAATAGACATGCTACGCGTTTTTCCGTTGTTTTTTGGTGGTTGAAGTGGAGTTCTGAACCCCAGTTCGCCATATTTCCAGGAGCGTCCAGGAACCCTGTTCATGTTGGGAGTGCCCATCCTAAAGCTGGCACAGCCATTCCCTACTGGAGGGTAAAACTGGTCAATCTTGGCGCTCCTGCAATTTTCAGTGGTTCTTTTCACTTCAAGTCCCCTTTGGTAATCAAACATGGCCTGGGAAGTTCCGTCTCACTTAATGGAGTTTCAGTCAGCTGGGAAAATCCATCAAACTTTTGCCAGCTTGCCAGGTTTCACACTCGCAGGGCAGTCCCGCGGCCGGCTAGGTTCTTGATCCTAACTGCACTTGCACAGAAACAGAAATGGAACAAATTATGAAGGGCTCAAGAAAAGCCGTCCATGATTTGGGGGGGGATCAGTTTTTGGGTTGTTTGAAGCCGGATGAAACGATGGTGAGCCAACCCTCCAAACCTCATGGAAGAGCTTCAAGGTCGCCCAGGGCTGCTTTCTCACCTGGCTCGCTGGATGATATCCCAGAGCTTCCACGGACCATCCCGAAACAATATCCCCAGTATCTTCTGGAGCTATTATTTATACATGTGTTTTGCGAATTCCGTGCATTCCAGGAAATGGAGGAAAATGGCATGATGCACTATGTTGCAAGAGCTCATTTAATCCCTTGTGGCTATCATCAATCTATTGGTAGAATGGTTTGAACAACCCTGTTCAAGTGGTCAGAATTCTCGAAATCCATGATTGTTGGTTGTATACCCCACCATTATCTCGTTATGTTCTCGTTAAAGCATCCCCGAAAAGATAGAAAAGCAGGAAACCTGGTAAATATGACAAAAGAATGGCAAAAATACTGCCATCTATATCAGGTGGTTGGTGGTATACCTACCCCTCTGAAAAATATGAGTTCGTCAGTTGGTAACATAACATTCCCAATATATGGAAAACCACCAACCAGATATACATGGTTTCATCCCTTGGCGAGCACCTCCAGGATGCGTTCAATCAGCTTCTGGACCGACATGTCCTTCTCAATGGGACGGGGGCCAAAGAGCACCTGTGGCGTGGCGTTGCCGACGTGGAAATACTCTGGGAGAAATCCTGCACCAGTTGGAGATGAAAGAAAGCCGTTATAATACACCATCATTTACAGCACGAGTAGTACGAGTAGTTACTAATAACATTTTGGGGGTCATTGAGGCACCAATGGCACAAAAATGGAAACAAATTGGATGCACATTCGCGTGTTTTAACCAGAAAAACCCCTCAATCTTGGGCTGACATGCCCCTAACTCTAATAGCCGTTCACTCCCATCTCCGTAACTAATCTAATTGTTCTTAGTGTTTGTCATCATCTTAAATCATCTTAGAACATGTATACATAAATATATGTAATATCTCTTCAAGCCATCTTTGTAACAGTAAGCGTCTGTTTTTCTCATCTTCTCGTTAAATGGGGGGTTCCATAAATATGGATGGTTTACAATGGAAAATCCTATCAAAATGATTTGGGGGTCCCTCATTTCAAGAAACCTCTAAATTCTTCCAGGTCAAACCACACCTTTTCGGTGTCCTTGGCTTTCACCAGCACCGTCTGTGGGCCCTGGCGCAAGGTCACTCATGACACGGCAGCCCCGATTTGGGTGGTTTGGGATCATTATCACAGGAAAGTTGGAAAATACTGGAACATGGTGGAACATAATGGAACATTGATGAAAATGGGTGAAAATGGATGAAAATAGTGAAAAATCATGGAAAAATATCATGAAGAATCCTGTTTCGGACAGACCACAGCCAAACTCAGGGAAGGAGAAGCAAAATGAACCCGCACCGGAACCTCAGCCAACCCAACCAGCCCAAATCAGCCCAACCAGAACCGAATCCAATGTAAAAGCCAAGCAAAGTTACTCTGAGCTGTGACATGTGACTGTACTCTCAAACTTGGCACCCCAAAATTGCCCCACTGGAAAATTCAATGAAATTCATCTGCCAGAGCCCATCATTTCCATGGGTTTTCCATGGTTTTCCATGGGTTTCCATGGGTTTCTATATTGGTTTCCATTCTGTTCCCATCATTTCCACGACTTCCCGCGCCTGTTTCATGCCGTCCGAGCCAACGAGCTGGCGTTCGACATGGAGCCCTGCATCCTGGGGAAACTCGGCTTTTGACCAGCAAAGATCGGGTGTTCCTGGAAATATTCACAATTGGGGGGTTCCATAAATGGAGATACCACCAAATGGATGGTTTATAATATTTTATAATGGTACATCCTATTGAGTTGGATTTTTTTAGGGGCCTTCATGTGATTGTTGGTTGTTGCGTGTGGATTTGTATCATGAACACGTGGTTGGGTTGAAGATATTGATGATGCGTCATCTTTGGAGCCAATCCCACACAACCGCATATTAGCAACTGATAAACATCCCAAGCGCACACACAAAGGTCTAAAAATGCAACTGTTGCATGTTCATCTACCTGCATTTTCATGCGGTTTTCTCTCTGGACCCACTGCCAGACTGCCAGACTGAATTTCTACTGTAGGCGCCATGCTCCTTCATCAATCTGGGTAAATTATAATATTTCACTGACCTGAATTAAGGCCATTTGGGGATGATTCCCCTTATTAACCATGATTTCCAGTGAGGTCGCAGTGAGGTCGTTATAATTTACCCAGATCAATAGCAGTCAACCAGGCAGCCAAACCAATCATTAGATAGTTTCTCGATCAATTGATTTGCAATCCAGTCCAAATCACTCCAATCCACTTCAACAATTTTGATATGGACTACTGAGGAAATGGATATCAAAAAACAACAAATCAATTGTTATGTCCATGTGTGTTCACAAAAAATGTTGATCAACAAAGATCTTGAATGCGTTGGTTCAAATTCTCTGGTGACTCTTCATCATTGTAAATCTCTTCATGTTTGGGTCTTGCGCGGAGATGTGAAATTAATCATGCCGTTGCCATTTAGAACGCCATTAACCAGCATCAACCTACTCAGTTTATCTTACAGTATCCATTCAGTTCCATTCACCATGATTCACTCCTGATTTGTCTGGCATGGTTCACCCTGTTTTGCTCAGCTTAACCATGGTTATCCTCTGGTAATTTAACGTAGCGACATGGCAAATCACCGTTCTCAATGGGTGATTCATCATTTCTATCATCTATAAATGGGCCATTTTCCATGGCTAGGTTAAATAACCAGAGGGTAATTCCCCACTAAATCATCATTTATAGTGGTTACATCCCATTAAATCCCATGTTAGCTACAATACTATTTACTTGGTGTGCAAATATGTTTCTTTAGTCTACATTTTAAGTGCAAGATTTATATGCTCTATCAAATACAAAGTGGAAGGCCTGGATAAGCTACCTAACTATCCTTGTGTTGTACTATCTAATCATCAATCTTTTTGGGAAAATATCTTCATGCAAATTATTATTCCTAAACATACTCGGATCATAAAAAAAAGAAATCTATAATATACCACTTTAGGACCCGCTTTTGTTAAATGTTTAAATCCAATATCTGTAGACAGATCAGACCCATTGTCTTTTCAACAAATTCTCATTCAGGGTAAAGAAAAAATTCAAAAAGGACTGTGGATAGTTTTATTCCCAGAAGGAACAAGAGTACCGGTAGATCGTACATATACACTTGGATCTTGATACTTCTGGATTTTTCGTCCAGAGTAGCTTGGCCCCAAATCAATCTACAGGCTCGGTCGACGTCTTCGCTGCTTTTCAGACTGCTTAAGAATCCCATCAAACAACCGTGGGAATTGCAGGGATGAGGGTAAACACCACTCATCACCCCCAGCCCACAGCACCCGCCTTCAGCCGGGACGTGGTACTGGCCATCACCGACGCCTTCACGGCTTCCCGGATCACCTGGGAGCCGCTGGGAGGACGAGAGAATTTGTTGTGAAAAAAATGTGTTTTTTTTTACTGGAAATGTTGGATTCAGAACTGAATTTGTATATATGATATGTCATGCATATTACATATATATATATATATAACATTATATATATATATATATACACATATAAAATAAGATGTAGACGTAAGATATATATATAATTTATAAACATTGATGTATACTATATATATAATGTATATAACATGTATCATGCATATATATATATATATATCATATATTTAACTATATCATATATATATATATGTATCAAATTTTGAAAAAAAAATATTATATATATACTAGTTAAATAAATCATATATATATATAAACATATTTCATGTATATATATATATATATATCATATAGATTCAAAAAATACAATAGAAATAAATATATAATACATACATCATGCATACATCATAAACATCAAATATTATGTTATATATATATATATATATCATGTATATATATCATATAATATATATATATATACACATCATATATATATATCAAAAATAAAGATAGTTATATATCGTACATGAATAAAAATCGATATTATCACTTTGTATATACCACAAATATATCATATATGTGCGTGTGTCGTGTCAAACCAAATCGAATCATATCATGTCATTTCTAAGCATATCATGTCAAACATATACATCATATGTAAATATATCATATATATATATATCAAATATATACATATCAAATATATATATATGTCGAATATTTATACCATATTTAAAACAGATATAGATTAATACCGTACAAACACCATACATGCACCAGAAAATTGATATATATATATATACACATATAATCATATATATATATATAATCACATATATATATATATATTTGTATCATAACCATATATATCATAACCATATATATCATAACCATATATATATAATCATAACCATATATATCATAACCATATATATCATAACCATATATATCATAACCATATATATCATAACCATATATATATATAATATACTAAAAATATCATATATAAATATATCATATACATAAATCATATTTGAATCATATATATATAAATCATATTTGTATCATATAATATATATATATCATATATATATATATATCATATACATATTTATACATATATATATATATATCATATATATATAAATCACATATACATCATAAATATTTACATGTATCATATATATATATATATCCCTCCGGGGCGGACGTTCGCCCAAAGTTTCATTGGGGGTCTAGTTACGTTGCGATTTGTTCAGGATATATTTCAAATTGTTTTAGGGTTTGCTTAGGGTTGGTTTAGATTTTCTTTAGGGTTTGTTTAGGGTTTATTTAGGCTTTGCTTAGTTAATTTTTGTACTATTTAAAATTAGGGTTTTAGGGTTTGCTCACGGTTGTTCTAGTGTCTAGGGTTATTTAGTGTTGATTTAGGGTTGGTTCAGGATTTGTTTAGGGTTTGTTTAGGGTTAGGTTATTTTCGTGTTCTTTCAAAGTCTTGCGGTTTGTTGAGGTCTCAATTAACGGCTCGAAACACTGCAAATTACGGAGGATATCTTTCAGATGCGCTTCAAAAGGTGATTTTGGAACCGCCTTAGGTAAGCGCAAAAATGCCATGAGACGCAGGTAATATCAATATTTTGCATGCTCGCAGTGTGCGAAAAACACGCATGAAAACAACACAGCAGATCGCAGTCCACTTGGAATGTAATTGGAATGTATCTATATAATATGTGTATTGTATAGTTGTGTATATATTGAATGTCATGGGATGAACGGGATGTAGCTGGAATATCATGGATTAATAGTTGCGTCAAAGAGGTTGCAAACCTGGCTGAAACTGGAATAGAATGGATGAAATCAAAGTCACTGGTCATTTCCTATTTATTGATTTTATTGCTTTACTGGGGAATTCATCAACGAGAAATCATGGTCTTCTTCTTCTTTTTCTTCTTCTTCTTTTTCGTTTTCTTCTTCTTCTTCTTCTTCTTTTTCTTCTTCTTCTTGTTGCCGACATGGAAAGGGGTTGACATATTTAATTAAAATTTGAAACAACCACATCTTGCGCAAATTGGGTCATTTTGGTTTTATATGTTTCGAATACGTGCGGGTCAACGCACGTAAAATTCAGGCGAAACAAGTACCCAAAAAACATCCAGAGCATTAGATATTGTTTGGCTGAGCATGATGTAGAGCAAAATAAAATACAAACCACACAGTTGCAGTCTACGCGCCGACCTACGCTGGGACTTAGAGTTTGCTCCAAGCTCCAAGATCCATCAGCTGCCACTTCTCTGCTGTCGAGAGTCATATTTGCACTCGTGATCCTGGCAGTTTTGGCGATCTCAAGGGATCTAAAGTTGTGCCACCTGTTCACCTACCCTTCGCCACGAAAAACCCCTGATGGATTATACCTCCTGTTTGCAAAGCCCTGATGGATCAACCTCCTGTTTGCAAAGCCAAAGGATCAACCTATGGATGTCTGCCTTTCCTGGGTTTCTCCCAGTTGTAGCTGGGAAAAACTATAGTTCCTGTAGTTCCTACTTGGTCTACTGAGTTTTTGAAGGGAAATCCTGTAGTAAAATCCAACACTTCTTGAGGTGTAAAAGAAGTGGCTTTCCCACAAATGTTTCCTCACCTGAAACACACAAGTTGGTGTTTCAACCCATTCCCCAACACATCCAGGCCCCGGCTATCTGGCGACTTCACCCCATCCAAAAAGAGTAATCATCAGTCGAGTGGGAATCATGATCCTATTTGTTCGGATAGAAACTATTGAAATATTCATGAAAGCGCTAGCCAGTTTTGATGACATCTGACATCCCCATATCGTTCGTTGTTAAACTCCACACTCACTCGTGGTGAAAACACCAACACGACTGAGTTCTGAAAAAGGATGCCCCAAAGTTTGGTGGTTTTGAAAACCATGTTCGTCAAATCACGGCCCTTAAGATTTAGAACCATGGCCAACGATTTTGAGCCAATATTTGAAACAATTGTTTGGCGTTGTATATCCAATATGCCCAATATTTTCTGGGTGAATGAGCTCTATCTATTACGATTTAATCCATATTTACCGGTGTTTCGACATGTTTCGACATGTTTCGACATTCCAGCTTCTTAACAAGATTGAAAAAATACTTTGCTTCGAGTGATCCCCACCCTGACACACTATTCTGACATAGTTTCTGACATATCATCTGGAAGTATATTTTCTGGCAAGTGTGTATATATATATATATACACATGCATATATATATAATCTAACATTCTTTCTGACATTCTTTCTGACATTCTATCTGAAATCTATTCTGAGATTCTATCTGGCATCTATTCTGAGATTCTATCTGGCATCTATTCTGACATTCTTTCTGACATCCTATCTGACATTCTATCTGGCATCTATTCTGAGGTTCTATCTGGCATCTATTCTGACATTCTTTCTGACATTCTATCCATGACATACTGAATGCTATCTGGTATTCTTTATGGCATTCTCTCTGGCATGTGTTCAGGTCCAGGTGTGGCCCACAGCATCCGGAGCTGGTGATATGGAGTTCGGGTTCAGACGTGGCGCACAGCATCCGGAGCTGGCGATATGGAGTTCGGGTCCAGGCATGGCCCACAGGATGCGGAGCCCGCCACATGGCTCAGAAAGACAAGGCTGACATCAGGCGGAGCAGGAGTAGGCGCAAGAGGAAGAGGATGAAGGAGGAGAAGAAGGAGGAGGAGTCACACCTTTGTTAACATCTAGAGACCCTCACCTGCCCGGTGGGGAAAAAAAACACATGTTGCCTGTTCTGCCTGATTTACCCCATGGTTGTTTGAAGACATCCCAACGACCACAATGACGCTACCGCACCTGACCGGCGGACCGCTGACCGCACCTCATAGAGCATCTGAGAGAAGGCGGTGAAGCCGCACAGGCACCGGAAGGGCGCACTTTCGGGGTCTCGAACTGGCGGGGTGTTTCGCGGTCGGGAGCAGCTTCAAACGTTCACCGCGACGTTTCCCACAACGGTTCTTTTTAACGGAGGGTTAATGAGGGTTACCTCTCTTGTCTCCCCAGCTGATGGCAAAAGGGCACTGACCCACTTTCATAAGTTATATTACATTCATACGTCATTTATATAGAAGCTATGAGGCCATGAACATGAGATTCATAATCTATATATTTTACATGATTTTACTATAATGTGGGTAAAACAATAATAAACCATCCCCCAGCCATCACCATTTTTACAGGTGGTATAAACGGTATAAACCATTCCCAGATGGGTGGTTTATGGCATTGTTTTACCCACATTACAACGTCATTACAGGATATATCGGTTTTCCCCATGACCCCAGAAACGCTCCAAGGCACAGTCGTCCTCGGTGACCATTCCCGGGAGCGGCAGCTCCTGGTCCGGCGTTCCGGCGTTGCGACGTTGCGACCATTGGGGTACTCGTCCTGTTGACCCATGCCTCTGCCACTTACTAGAACTGAGATGCACCCCCAGGAAATCTAGAAATCTGACATCTCTCACCTTGAGAAAGATCCTTGATCCATGTTTATCATGGTTCAGGGGTTGATAAATGTCCTAATTAGTCCTAATTAAACATCACCCAACTAATGGGGATATAATGTGATATAATCTCCAACCGGTACTTGAAAGTGATGTGAAACAAACCCAGGAAAAGGATTAATGACCCATTTAGTTCGATGAATTATCATTTTTTAAAAGGTGATGTTCCAGTTCACACAGTGACCTGATAACCAGATGGTGTCTGATAATAGATTAATATATATATAATACATAGTGTCAACTATTTACAAATAATGATTCTCTGAATCAATGTCATCATATTGCACCAACTTGAAGAAGTTCAGCCATGAGGGGATGATTCTCATTTCTAATCATTGTTCAAGTGGCATAGCATACGTATGTATAATACACAGTGTGATATAATTATTGCAATCGTAACAGTATTTGGCTTGGATTTTCCGTGGCCATGAAATTGATTCTCGGAGGGTACCAATGCTTTGACACTACGGGGAGCCTGCCAAATAGTGGCAGAAGGGCAACTATGTTGGGCTTGGGAATAATAGACTCCTAAGTACTAGAACAATACAGTGCTTCTAAGATATAGTTAGATTTGTCAATATGATAAGAGGGGCACCTAATATTTATCTAAGAGGGGCACCTAATATTTATCTGAGAATAACTTAAACTTTATCCTTAAGACCATTAGGAAATATTTTGGGGGGGACATGATCCCTTCTCACAAATTTTATAAACCCTGGTTTAGTCTCGCATTAGGGGGACCATTGGATGAAAGAAGAAATGTCTGATACCCTTTGGTTATCTAATCTGGCAACGAGAAAATCCAGGCCAGTGATTTGACATAGTTGTGAACATCATCTGCAAATAGAGGAAAATCCATGAAGAGGTCAAGCCTACACGGAGTCAAGCCCATGTCTTTTTTGGATATCATTTGGAACCATCCCAACTGCTTCCTGCCGATGCTTCCTGGGGATTTTGGGGATGATGGGCCAAAAATTATGGGTAGTTGATCCAGGATCAAAGTCCATCATTGCAGTGGGCTAGATACATGTATCATGCACTCAACTCTGAGAATAATCGCTGACAATTGGGTGAATTGAGTTCAGGATCTCATACCATCCACTTTGGGAGGTGTATACACCCCTGCATTGTCATGCATGTCCAAGAAGTAAGGATACTGCCACCGACGATTGAACCACTACTAATATGAGACCATCAAATGGTGGATGAACGGGTGTCTCCCGTTCGGGACAGACCCATATGCAGATTCAAATTGAAACAACACTAGGTATACCAAAAAAATCTTGTAGTTGGTAGTCTGCCCTGTCTGCATGTCTTTTTTGCAATCCACCATTTGTCTGGATAAAGTTCAGGAAGCCGGACAAGAGATCCAAACACCTCATGTTCAACGCACTCTCAACCCATTCTTACCCTCGCTAGATCAGACCTTTGCAACTTAGAATCACTCACTGGAGCTCTAGTTCCCTGGGAAAATCCATCTATCAATGGAGATGTTTGTCGCTGGGAAAGTCATCCATAAACTGGAGGTGTTTGTCGCTGGGAAAATCCATCTATCAATGGGATGTTCCATTCATAAATGGTGGATTTTAGTATCACCATGAAAAATCAGAGGTTCAGTTCGCTGGGAAAACATTATCAATGGTGAATTAATCAATGGTGAATTACAGTATACAAATCACCAATTAAAACAAAAAACGATGGTGAATTAATCACCAATTCATCACTATCAATGGTGAATTTTCCAGCACGCCATGTGGAATACCGAAGTGGAGATGGCCAGCAGCTGCAGCAGCTGCACAAGCTCTGCGGAATGGCACCTCCTTGGGACTCATGGGTGAAGGACTACCTGAAGCCGCCTAAGTCGGAGAACAGTCAGCCATAGATCCATATGGATGTGGGTTAAAATGGAAGACCGATGTGGGACCACAGATGTGAATGTCTAGTTTAGTATTCAATGTATTCACCATCCAATTATTGAGGTACCTAATTTTGACCCATATCCATATAGATCATCAATGAGGTGATTAATTGGTGATTTGTTGGGTTATTAATGGGCTATTCATGGGTTACCCTCTGCTAAACTAACAGTTTGCTACTGAAAATGGACCATAGGATTAAACATTGTGATTTTCCATAGTTTTTTCTATGTTTACCGGAGGGTCACCCATTGGTGACACTCGACTGGGGTCGGAATGATGCCAAGGCACCTCGTCATCTGCAAATTTCACTTCACTCCGAACAAAGTCGTCGTGATAGGAGGGCGAAGACCTTGGCGATGTGAGCGCTAGGAGTTTTGGTGGACTTTTTATACGAAAAATATCGTGGATGACCATGATTCAATGAAGTTGTTTAGAAACAGTAGTGGATGATATAGTGGATGGCCATGATTCAATGGGTGGGTTTGGGATTTGTATGGCTTTCTTGTGGAAATCGACAAGAAACTGTAGGTTTTTACCACTAAATATACAGTGCGCGTTTGTGTTTCCTTACAGATGTTCCCATTTTCCCAATCCATTGATGATCTCAAGATCTGGGATGAACATGGATTAACCACGTTCATCGCCCCTAATCAATGGCCAATCTATGGATCTGGATCAAAAAAGATCAGGAGACCCAAACAATGGCAAGCTGCTGCCCAAGAAAGTGACTTTACCCTCTGGTAAACGTTTACATAACTATGGGAAGATCCACTATTTTATAGCTGGGTAAATCCACTATTTCGACTGGGCCATTTTCAATAGCTATGTGGCTGTTTACCAGAGGGTATTCATTATTAACAATAGATTATCCATATATTAACCATATATTAAACATATATTAACCATTTTTGATAGTAACCTGATTTCTGAAACCCTTTTCGGGAACATGTGCAACCCGCTAGCGGATCGCTAAAAATCAAACATCATGGAAAAATCCAGATCTCAGCGGCTGAGGTCTGCGAAACCACTGGCTCAACATCCCAGCAAAGAAATGCGAGTGCAGCATCCAGAAACAAATATTATATAATTATTATATATATATACATTTAAAAAGTATAGTAAATCTATAATATATAATATATATAATATAATATATATATATAATATAATATATATAATATAATATATATAATATAATATATATATATATATTAATACATATATATATATATATACAACATGTGTATACAGACAACTATATACAATTGTATACGTAAATGTAGAGAAAGAGAGAGTGACAAAGAGAGAAATATGCAGATACGCAATCAACCAAGTGGTGTGCCAAGTTCCATAATATCCATAATAATATATATGTGTAGATATATATATATATATACATATATATATATATAGTGTGTATCGGTGTTGGACCAAACACCATCCGTTGCCCAGCGGATCACCAAGACACCTTGCCCAGCGGACCAATCCTGACTCGCCATGACAGTTGTGGTCCTCGATCGGCCAATGGGATCCGACCAGGGACCATGGGATGGGATGGGCTGCCGTCGTGTACGATAAGAATGTAATAAACCCATGCACCCAAAAAAAAGGGTGGTGCCCCCGTTCGATAGCTAAGTTGGTGCAAATAACATCAAATAACTCCAATAACTGTGGTGTAAATAGTTGAAGCGGAGGTCAATTGGACTTCGGTTCAAGGAAGGCCCAATGTTGACCGGCTTGAAACTGTCTCTGTCGAATCCCTTCTTTCAACCACATCGAATCTCAAACACAAACCGCATCAAACATGTTTTTCATTATGTTTCTACCTAGACAAAATGCGTGCACCGGTTGACACCCTTTTTCCCCCAACCATCTCCTGGTAAATCAACTTTGAAAAACTCTCGAAGCCGCAATTACTGCAGGTAAAAGCCATGGCCGCAGCGTTCAGAGCGCCCCTTTTTGGTAGCTGTCGTTGTCCTGAATGGATGACTGGCGAGTGTCCTGGTCAAACTGATTGCATGAAAAAAATGAATGACTCTATCAAATGTTGTTTCCCAAAACTCAACTTTGCTGAAAAGAAAGAAGAATGGAAACTCTGCAAATCTGCTAAAAAAAACTTTGATGTTTTAAGATATGTTTAGATTAAAATCAGTCGCGGAGCCAACCAATGTCTGAATATGTTGTCTTTACAAACTCCGCAGCGAGAACACACCACGGCTGGAGCCAAAACCGTGATAAGACGGCCTCTGGGGAAGTGTGTCACCCATAGATGCAATGGTCCTCATGACAGATGATTGTCCACCTGAAAATGTTGGATTTCCAGATAGTTAATCATAGTTGTTCCTAAGACACCCCCTGAGGATGTCCCATCATTGTTCTTGTTGCTTGAGACTTTGAAATATGTCAAAAGCACCTGAATGTCCAATATGCCTATCTCCCATGACTGTCCCAACATTTTCCCAGTATTTTCCCGCTAAAAGCTAAAAAACATCCCGATTTAAACTAGTCGTATACTCTAGTGTTATCCCACCTAAAACTATATCATACTATATCCCATAACTCATCACCAATCATATCCCATTTCTAATCTATATCCATTATATCCCAGATTTTTGTCGGAGAATCCCCCAATCTCTGGCCGCAACGCCCGCGTTGCCCGCGTTGCAAACGCGTTGCCCGTGACCTGCCGGAGGTTCTGCAGCTGGTCGGGCCAGATCTCGGCGGCCCGGGGGTCGTGCAACAGGAAGAGCTGGTAGGCCTGGCGGATTCCATGGGGATTCAACAGGAATTTCACCTTCCAAAAGCTGGGAGAACATGGGAAAATGGTGGTTTAATGGTGGTTTAATGGGAGTTAATGGGATTTAATGGAGATACCCTCTGGTAAACGTTTACATAACGAACTGGAAAGATCCACCATTTTATAGCTGGGAAAATCCACTATTTCTATGGTCATTTTCAATAGCTATGTAACAAATTACCAGAGGGTAGACTGGGATTCAGATAGGAAGGCTGCTTGATTTTTAGGGATTGACTCAGGGGATTGGGATTTAGACATCGAACATTAGGGATTTATAATGTGAGTTATGGCATTTAAGCATCAAGAATACCTAATTTAATGGCATTTGACAATCAAACGAAGTATCCGATGGGATTTGCGCATCAAAAATCAAAAGGATTTCATGGGGTTTAATGGGGTTTAATATGGGATTGAGCGAAGAAATAAATGGTGGTATAAAACCAACCATGTTACGGTTTTTTTTTAATGGGGGTATCGTCGGACGCATTACCCCAGAACTGAGGTCCTAAAACTACGCACTCCCAGGATGTTCCCCTCCCGTCAGTGAAACTCCATTAAGATCATTGTATACTCCCTGGTAATTTAACATAGCTATTGAAAATGGCCATTTATAGTGAATTTACCCATTAAACATGGTGATTTTCCACAGTTATGTTAGTTTACCAGAGGGTAAGTACCCAATGATGCAACCAGACCAAGGATGTCAAGTTGACTATGTCAAGACATGTCAAGTATGTTTAAACCACTTCAAGCTTCGCCACGCCAAAATCATTGAGCTTTTGAGCCAAACCAATTTTAAAAAAAAAAAAACTGAGGACCAGCCGCGCCAAAAAGACGGCGCCTTGGCCGCATCGCCCATCAACTGTCGCTCCTCTTCAGTGAGGGCCTGCAGGCCACTGGAACAATCTGGAACACTGGAAGGATCCGCGCCGCTGGGTGGGTGGAAGACAATCTCATATCTCATCTAGGGCTATTCTACGGCTATTCTACGTCAAAACGCTGGTACCTAGTGAATTTGTGTTGAAAATCAGCCAAACATAGCCAAACTATAAACCACCCTGGAAACAAACGTGGATTCCTACTGTCTTTTGGGATCTATAGTTAGAGCAAATACAGTATGATCAAATGATATCAAATCCCCCATTTTTGGCAGGTTAAACATTGTGAACTCCTCCACTTTTTTTCGGCGTCACAACCTCAGCCACCAACACATCCACCCATCGCGCCGTCGTGGCGGAGAGCCACGCGGCAGAAGCACCGCCTTTTTGGCCGTTTTTGGTCCGGGATGGTGGGATCTTTACCCCACTTTTCACAGGTTTTTTCTCAGCCCCCAAAACATCTGTTGGTAAAGCAATGCCATAAACCACCATAAACCACCATAAACCACCATAAACCACCATAAACCACCATAAACCACCATAAACCACCATAAACCACCATTTTATTGTCAAATTGGGGATGGTTGGTATTGCCAACATTGGCAGTCATCTCAACCTTCAGGAGAAGTTGGTAGAAACCAACAAAATGCTGATGGTTGGATCAACAAGCTGTTTTGGCGTAATTCCAAAAAGTTGGGATGTTGATAAACAAAACGGGGATTTCATCACTGCGCTGAACCACAAAAATATTTGATGTGGGATTTGACCCGTAACATGCGCTGCATGACCCAGACTGGACTGGGATACAACAACAACAACAACAACAACAACAACAACAACAACAACAACAGCTCGTTTGTAATTAAATTGGTTGCCATTTGGTTCTTCTGGTTGGTTCATGCGATTCCCAGTTCATGGGTAGCGTTTTTACAGATGTCCAAGATGTCCAAGGGTTGGGGATTCAACCACGCAAGGTGGTGATCCAGTTCGTTAGTTTAGTTCGTTGAACGAAGTAGGCTACCAACTGGATTTATGGTTGAGATATATTTATGCATTACTATGCTAGACTCCTAGACTTCGTGGGATATATAAAGATATATAACTTCTTAGTGAAGTGTATATATATATCACAAATATCATATAGAATCATATATCTATATACTCAATGCGGATCGTAAAATGCTAAAACCTACAGTATTTGTTTCAGTGGGGTGGCATCACCTTGCACCAATGAACCCCGCCTTCGGCTTTGGCTTCCTGCACTGGGCCTGCACTGATCTCCGTGTGCTCCGCTGCTTGCGCAATGGGCGCCTGTGCACAGGGATCCCAAGGGCAGTTCTCTTGGTGGTCGCAGATGTCATATGTGTTACCCTCTGGTAATTTAACGTAGCTATTGAAAATGGCCATTTATAGTGGATTTTCCCATTAAAAATGGTGATTTTCCATAGTTATGTTAAATTACCAGAGGGTAATATAAGTCAACATATACGCACTGTGACTGTCAAGAGCTATTCATGTATTTGTTAAATCAATTGAAATGTCTTGTCTATATTTGTGCACATCCCAAATCTTCAACCCATATGACCCCCTAAGTATTTGGTATGATTTCGCCTCAACCCCAAAATCTTGGATCATTAAGGTTCCATGAAATGTGCATGCAGATATATTCAACATTATTCAACGATGTCATCATACACTGCACTTGTCCGCCCCACTTCCCGGTCACACCAAGGCCTTGTATGGAACCGTTTGTAAAGTACCCCGGTGATCCTCTTGGTCTTCAAACCACCGATGTCAACATGGCGACACCCCACCCGGCGCACAGACTGCGACGGCGCGGAGAAGGACTTCTGTACGGGTTCCTCCACGGATGTCACACCATTGGGCCTTAGGACAGGCAGGAATGGTCTGGGTCAAATTTTGCAGAGCTTTGCGAACTCGGAGAACCAAACGTTGGGTCAAACGGGTCAAACCCTCCATACCTGACCATCATTATCGCCAGCTCGTCTGTTCATCCTGTCTCTGTTTCTTGGCAGCCGTCTTTTTTGCTCTCTGATCTGAACATTCCCAACAGGGTCCAAGGGCCTTGAATTCTCTTTGTCTTATCCATGGCTTGAAAGCAATGTACATCGCATCCAGGCTGGGATGCACAGCTGTCAGGTGCAGCCAGATTTGCCCGGTGATCAGTGATCAGCGATCACTTGTCCATCTTCCATGGATGTTTTGTTCAACGATGTTGTAGTTGCTTGCCATTTGGCGCTGGCCCCAAAAAAAGTGGTACCAAGGACCCATAAAATTCGTCGGTTTTAGTCTCAGTATACAGCAATGCATCTTCGGGGGTATATGATGTTGAGCTCTTACCATTTGAGGCTTTACAGTACTATATACGTTGCTTCCATTTTTTCCTCTCTGACCACGAAGTCCCTCTAAATCCCATGGAAGACGGTCCAGTCCCCAGTGGCCAAATCCTCATGGAAATCGGCTGAATTTTGTCATCATCCAGCTGGTAAATCTCCAATGAAATATGCCTCACACTTTGGAACAATCTCAAAATCTGAGTCACATTTGGGGTTGGATGGGACCAACAAACATGGTTTCCACTTTAAACATCTTCGCTGCAACCTGGAAGTTTGCCCGGAGTTGATGTCCCGCAATCAACGTACTGCTCAGAGGGGGTGGCTGATTTTGATCCCTCATGAAGATAAAGTTGATATTATTTCCCCAATCAACATATTTTCATCTTTAAAGCCACGACTTGTTCTTTGGTTCAGAACCTGCATCAGCCGGCCACTGCAAGGCAATTTGTCACATGGGTCTGGGGTCAACCTTGGGTGCCAAAACCAACAGAAAACCAAAACCTTTGGGTCATCCACAAAAAATCCTTTGAGACCTCGGACTTGATCAACAAGAACTCCGACTTCGTTGTGCTTCTCTGGGCACCTGAATCTTGACCATCTTGACCCCCAACCCCATTTCTTGATATGTTGTCCCCATTGAAAAACCTCGGAACTTGAGTTCCCTTGGCCACAGAGGTGGCTCCCCATTTGGGTTCCGCAAATCCTCGAAGGGATCAGAGCTCCTCGCGCTCCCGATCCGCCAGGGCAATGGGACCCCTGTCCGGATGCTCCGTGGTCTCAGAGGCCCCAGACAAGGAGGCGCCCTCGAAGACCAGTTCCTAGGGGCTGATGTCGTGAGGTTTCAGGGGTGCAGAAAGATCCAGGGTGATCTGGGGCGCAAAGGAACATCTAAGGCATTAAGAAAGGTAGACATGCCATGACATTCCTATGAAATTACCCACACCCTTGAAACACTGCTCAAACAGACCCTAACCCACCCCCACCAAAATGCGTTCGAGGTGCAGCACATTGCTGTCCCACTACCACCTGCAAGATCCGCTCCGATAAACTGCTCACGTCACCATCCTCTACGCGACAGAGGTGGTTCACGCGCTGGCAGAGCTTGTACTCCTGACACCGCATGGCACTGCACGGAGCTAAGGAAACGATGAAGATGGAGGATGCGGGTTTCGCTAAAGGGACCTCGCTAACAATTTTTGGAGGAGTTGGTTTTGAATGGTTTGCAAACCCATTGGTTGGAGGGCGCTCATTGAGGGAAGCAGATCGGGCTACCAACGGACCCAGGATTCAAATACATGCCCGCAACATGGCTGATGGATTTTACAGATGGAAAAAAAAAACTTTATCAGTTCCAGACTCTGCCTCCAAACATGGTAGCCTTACTGCTAAACCGGGCCACCATCTGGGTATGCGGCCTAATTGCGCACCTCTAAAATGGATGGTTAATAAGTGAATACTGAACATATACATGTCATCACATTTCGATCTGCGGTCCCCAGGGTCTTTAATTTTGAGCCATACCTAGATGGATGGCTGGAATTATAGGGGTTTCACACGGTTTCACATGTTTTGCCCTCAACAATATGGGGTGAATGATAGGAGTTTCACGGTTTAACATGGTTTAACATGGTTAAACATGGTTTAACATGGTTTAACATGGTTTAACATGGTTTAACATGGTTTAAACATGGTTTAAACATGGTTTAACATGGTTTAACATGGTTTAACATGGTTTAACATGGTTTAACATGGTTTAACATGGTTTAACATGGTTTAAAATGGTTTAACATGGTTTAACATGGTTTAACATGGTTTAACATGGTTTAACATGGTTTAACATGGTTTAACATGGTTTAAAAATGGTTTAAACATGGTTTAACATGGTTTAACATGGTTTAACATGGTTTAACATGGCTTAACATGGCTTAACATGGT